TTCTGGGTAAACAGGCAGTCACGGATATATCTTCCCTTTTTTTTTATGATTAGTAGTAAGATATTCTTAACATAAAATTTACCATTCAGTGAATTGGCTGGTATTGAGTTCATTCACATTGTTGTGCCTTGTGTTTAAACACAAAGGTTATTTATTTTATATATATATATATATACATATATATATATATATATACACACATATATACATATATATATATATATATTTTATTACTTGTGCATACAAGAACTGGGGTACAGGCCAGAGATGGGATACAGGTACAGAGGTACAGGGGGTGAGGCACTTCACCAGAGACAGAGTGGGGAGCAGAATAAGCAGATCTACTGAAGAGACAGAGTGGGGAGCAGAATAAGCAGATCTACTGAAATAAACCACTGAGGGGCACAGCAGGCAAGACAGGAGAGGTCTGCCACACCATGTCAGGGATCGAACTCATGCTGCAGTGGCTATGAAAAGCTTCACAGTGCTGCACTTTAATCTGTCATGCCACCAGGGAGGGCCTTTATATATTATTTATTTATTTAAAAATAATATATAGTTTATTTTTACATCAGTTTGTGTGTGTTTCCATCTCAGTTGTAATCCCCGTGGGCTTCCCATCACTAAATCACCCTTGTGCCATCACCATAGTATATACTTTTTAAATCATTCTTACTTTTTTGTACAATGCATGCTTTCTTTTTTCAGGTGTACTCTCTGCCAAATTCCCATTACCAATTCACCCATGCACCATCAACCATAGTCCTTTGTGTAAGATACATTCTCTTCCCTGTTTTGATTTCTTTCCCTCCATCTCCCTTGCAGAGTGTCTCTGATTAATAGTTGCCTGTTAATTTTGTTTTTTAATTTGTTAATAATTAACTTTTTCCTCAGATTCCTTATTTGGTTCCCTTGCATTCCTGCTATAGTGAAACTATTAGATTTTTTTTTCCTTCTGGCTTAACAAATGTTATTTTAAGTAGTGTGTTCAGTTTTTTTCATTTAACAATATGGTAAAGACCTTTCCCTTTTCAAACATAAAATTCTTCCCTTTTTTTTTTTTTTTAACTGCAACTGGATGGATCCTCATTCACTTACTTTGTTGATGGACATTTAAATTGTTTCTAATCTTAATGATGTAATGAATAAATTTGTAAGTATTCTTGTGTAACCCATTTTTTGAAGTAGAATTCATGGGTCACACAGTATAAGTTTTTATGGTGTTTACTAATATTGCTGTCTGTCCCTGGAGGCTGTGTCAAAAAGTCTCAACAAATACCCATATCAGTATACAGTACCATCAAACATTATTTTTTCAGACAAAACAGTTTTTTATTCAAACTCTTTCTCCCTCCTTCTCCTCCTGAAACTCTTCCTCTTCCATCATTTTCCTGGCAACTTCAGTGAGCTCCTTGGTGCCATCTTTAATGTTAACTTTGATCCGGCATCCTTTTCATACTTCTTAAGCTTCTACAGCTTTTTGTTGTAAGGCAGCTTTTCACTGTCAAATAAATTATTCCACAACTTGTTTAGCACCTCCACTTCTCTGATAGAAATGCAAGGGCTTGTGGATGTGACTACAGGGCAGAATTCAGCACAGCAAAAATCCAGCCATGGCCATTTGGGGGCATTGGACTTCTCTTTTCCTCCCTTAAGCAGGACTATCATAGTCCGTCATTTCCTGATTTTACATACTTTATTTGTTTTTGTCATTTCATCAAATTTAGACTTCTCCTTCCCAGAGGTCTCTGAACACTTCTTGGAAGGGGTCTCTGAGTTTTTCTTCTTATATTCCTGTTTGCATGTCTGCATGAAGATGGCATGAAGATGGTTTCTTGGTATCCATTTAGCCATTTTTACTTTATTGTTTGTAGTTTGGGCAACGTAGGGCATGATATATAGCTCAATCTTCTAAACATTTTTGTCTTTGCTCTTCAGATAATTGAAGAAAAATATTAATATAGTCATTTCATAATTTATTTAATAAACTTTAAACAGATTTCATAATTGAAGCATTTGGAAAGTGCAGACAGTTACAAAGAAGTAAACAATAACTATCTAGATTATCTAGATTATTTTACTCAGGGATACCATACCATTATTTATGTTTTGGAATACACATGGAATAGAGCATGTAAAAGTGTACTCTATAAGCAGTTTCTCAGTGTAACACTTTTATTATGAAAGTAGGAAAGGTTTATTATAAAAACTTAAGGCAATGCATAAAGGAAAAATTAAATTGATTTAATTGCAAACCCAAAACCTAAAGATACTGATGTGTATACATCTTATTAGTCTGCCTTTATTTCACACTAATTTATAACTTTAGTAACTGCACTTACACTTACTCTTTTCATGTTAAACATCATTTTATTTAAGAGTTACATTTTTCCTTTGATCTGTGTCTTCATGTACATCACCCATTTTTCTAATGAATGATTGATCAGTTTTTACTCATTCATACAGGTTTTTTTGTATTGGCTCTAAGAACAGTTGCAAATATCTGTGCCCATCTTATCATCTGTCTTGTCTTAGATTTTTCTATTTGTTTTTATGGGAAAGAATGTATCAAACTTTAGTTGCTTATGAGAATTGACTAGTAATTGCTGTAGGTCACAAAAATTTGTAAAAGACTTATCTTATGGTTTTATTCAGTACTTTTGAGATTTCAGGTTTTTTTTGTTTGTTTTTAAATCATAAATATTTGACCCACCTGAATTTATCCTACTATAAGGTGAGGACTTCAACTGCCCACTTGTCCTAACAATCATGCCTCACTATTGAAATGCTTTATATACTCTATTTTAGTATGTATTTTGTTCTTACTATGGATTTTTTCTTTTCCATTGTTCCATCTGTTTATATATTTGTGTGTATAATTTAATTTTACTTATTGTACTTTTGTAATATTTAAAAAAGACTTGGCAAGTCTAGTGGCCCCTAATTGTTCCTTTTCACAAATTCTCTGGCTACTAATTTTAGAATCAGCTTTTATCCAGTTCCAATGTTAATAATTTATTACTTTATTAGCATTATGTTATTTTTATAGATTAACCTTTATGATAATGACTGTTGCTATCTAGGAATAGGATATTCCTTATCGTTAATTTAAGTCTTTGTAACCTTCAAATTAAGATTTTCTTTTTAGAAATATTGCATATTTTATTCTGAGATATTATCCCTAGATAGTCTTAGAATTATTAGGTATTTGATCTTTTCTGTTTGTATTCTTGTTATTTTCTAAATTTAAACTTTTTAAAGTTGAAAATTTATTTCAACCAGTTGTATGCCATAGTTATTATTTTTAATTTCTCAACTTGGCTGTATTTGATTCAGTTTTGCCGAATTCTAGTTTTCAAGAAAGTCATTGCTGAGACAAACTTTTTTTTTTTTTTAAAGATTTATTTATTTATTCATACAGAACTGGGGTACAGGCCAGAGGCTCAGGGGCGGTGAGAGGCTTCACCAGAGACAGAGTGGGGAACAGAACAGGCAGATCGATGAAGTACACTGCTGAGGGGAGCAGCGGGCGGGTCAGGAGAGATCTGCCACACCATGTGGTCACCTCCAGGGCAGGCGGGAATCGAACTCATGCTGAAGTGGCTTTAGCTTCTCAGTGCTGTGCTTTAACCCACTGCGCCACCAGGGAGGGCCAAGAGACAAACTTTTAATTCCTCCTAATTATTAGCTTTTCTGCACCTAATAGGCTTTGTTGCTGTGCACTCTTTCTTTTCCCTCTGAACCTTAGTTACCTCATCTTTTCTCAAGGCTCTATTTTAGCCTGTTCCTGTTGATTCTATTGTGGTCAACTTTCTAGAGGGTCTGTATCTGTTCATGAAAACCCTTTTGGTGCAAGGTCTATTTGACTCCAAGTGACTGAAGACTGTCTGAACTTTAGACTTTCAGTCCTTTGTCACCAGACTGGTGGCCCACCCAGGCTCTTGTCAGAAGCTCACTGTCTACCTTACCTGTTTGGTAGTTTAAAGCTTAATGGCCATGGCTTGGAACTGCTTGAAATGTCCTTGTATCTCCATTGACTTGTGCTTTTCCCTCCACTCCCTATTCTGGATCCTCAGCCTTACTCACTTTAGGCCTTGCACACATCTTTCAATGCTGACTTTATCATCTGCTTCTTTCTCTGCTGCTTTCCCCTTTCTGTCCATGCCCAGGGAAGTTACTGGATCCTAGGGTTAAAATAATAGCTTTGCAATTAGCGAGGTTTGTGTTCTGATCCAATTTTGCCTCTCTTCAGCTGTGTGACCTTTGGTAAGATTTAGAAAGAATGAATACAAAGTTCTAGCACATGGTTTCCACAGGTGGCCGCAAAGTGATTAACTTGCCCCTTGGTTGTAGTAATAGATCCTTAGAACTAGGTGTTGGGTTCTGCCATAGAGCTTTTATGTATGGCCCATTGGTTACTCATAAACAGCCCCTCAGAGCAGGTAGGAGTAGTATCCCATTTTGCAGATGTGGAAACTAAATTACAAGGAAAAGTGACTTTTGCGAAGTCGCAGAGCTAAATTAATGTCCGAGCCTGTGTCCTTAGCACAGCAGGTTTCTGTCATTCCAGTTAACCTAAGGACCTAAACAGTTTTCCTTTCTCACCATAAAATGATCAGAAAAGTCAGTTTATAGAAATGGGAGTGAAAACAGTCATTTTTCTGTAAATAGCACTGTTTCTTTATCGGGGCTGTCCTATAGAGTACCCATTATCCTTTTCTAGCTATTTATCACTTAAGATGTGGCAAGTGGGGTGAGGAACTGTTTTTTTTTTTTTTTTAAACTTGATTTTTAATGCAAAGAGCCACAGGTGGCTATTGGTTGCCATCTTGGGCAGCGCAGGTGTAGACGAGTGGTTGCATCCCAATTCCTGTGTAAGTCAATTGTGCTTTCCCTTTCCTCTCTACCGCCCAAGGTCCCCTCTCCCAATGGGTGGGTCTTATATTTGGATGGAGGTTACCTTCTGAGTTTAATTTTTATTGCTTCTTTAATTCTAACAGTGTGAAGAGTGCCATTGCTGGCAGCATGGGGTCTGCATGGGATTACTGGAAGAAAATGTGCCTGAGAAATACACCTGTTATGTTTGCCAAGATCCTCCAGGTAGATTTTTTGAGTCAGGGATCTTAACAGTATGTGGCCTTTACCTTAGCACAGCTGGCCGTGAATCAGCCTGAGTATCTGTGGTTTTGAGAATGATTTCTTCAGTGTCAGCTAGACTCCAACTCCTCACCCTTGTTGCTAGTGCACCTGGTGCCAGCTATCCTGAACATAGCAGTAAGAAAGCATGCATGAGGGTGTCATCTAGTGGAAGGCCTTGCCTTGAGCTTGATTTTTTTTTTTTTTTTTGGTGATAAAAATCATGTAACACAAGATCTACCCTCTTAATAAATTTTTAAGTGTACGGTGCTATTAATTATTAGCACAGTATTGTATTGCATAGTTCTAGAACTTTTTCATCTTACAAGACTGAAACACTAAAAACTACAGACTGTTCCACAAATTTGGTAGCATTTTTTGCTAGAGGCATTGGAAATTACCTGTTTTTGTTTTAGAACACATGCTGCCAAAGTGAACCCCTGCCCTTGAAAGTTCATGTGGTTGGGTATGTGGGCTCTGTTCTTAGCTTTTTGGGGTGGTTAGAGATAGAAACCTGCATCTCTATTCTCTGGAAGCTTCTGCCCTTCTTTGCATCATTGCACCTTGGAAGGGAATTGTGCCTTTGAGGGTAAGAGGAAAGCCTCTGAGTAGAGCCCAGAGCAGATAGTATATCCAGGGTTAATTGATTTCTTTGTTCCATGGCAACAAGCTATTATGTGACTCTTGGGTACTCTTTCCCAGAAGTCTTAGGGTAAATTATAAATCTGTGGTTCTTATCAGATGTTTCATTGGGATAGTACATCTTCTTCCTTTACCACCTGAAAATTCTCTCCCCTTGACACTGTTCCATCACTCACTTAATGCTAGACTGTGTCTGAGAGTCTCTGCTTCTGTTCCTCCTTTTGGGCCTTGTAGTTGAACTTAGTATGAGCTCTTATTCCCATTTTTGCTTATGAGGAAGAAATGGATGCCCAGAGAATACAGATGACTCTCCTAATATCATAAATCTAATTGGAATTAGAACTGGCTTGTATGACCAAGTCACTTGATTTTTCTGTTGATTAGGATGTGGCTGGCCACCACCGCATATTTTCTAACATGGAGGTCCAGTCAGTGTGAGATGAGTGATTCCTCATCTTCTTGTCTTAGCTTAGTGTATAGATGGAAAGGAATCTGCCTGTTTTCCCCTGTATCCTAAGGGAAGAATATAGCTAGAGACTCAGTGTATGAGTCATAGACAGTTATTGAGGGGCAGGATCTTGGAGAACATTTAGTTCATCTACACTATTTGACTGGCACACAAACAAGCGCAGAAAGAGGATACAGGTTTATTATCACTCAACCAGTTTGTGCCAGATAGGTGGGGAGAACCAAAGTCTCTGATCTTGTCTTGTAAATTCTGCTCTGAATTCTGCTGTTCAGGCCACACGTGCAGCTGCTGCCTCTGATTTCTTACATATAATTCCCAGGACTCCTTGTAAAGCTCTCTTTACTCTCACTCTTTCTCTTTGTGCAAATTATACACACCTCTTTCATCAATTCCTGTGCACTTTCTGAACTCTTAGAACTCTAATTACCAAGACTGTGAATACACTCCTGCTTGAATTATAAGCACTATATATCTATGACATTTATAAACTTTGATTGACTCTGCAGTGTCTTCAACCAAAAGTTTAACTTAACAGATTTGCTATTTAAAGGTTAAAGATATTTTTAACAGAATTAAGATGTATCATGTATCTTTGTAAAGCCAGAGGAACCAATGGACTTTAATAGGAATTATCTGGGTGATTTTGGGGTTTTTATAGATTTTGGGAGATGAACAACAATCTAATTAAAAGCTGTTTTTTGGGCCTTTGAAGTAGTAAGCACTGCCCAGTCACATGTTAAGTGTTTTTAGTCCTTTTTAAGGATCCTTGTGAGGAACAGGACCATTAAAGCCTTCCAGTTCTTCTGTCACTGTAACAGATGGAAAGTAGAGATCCAGGGGCGGGAAGGGGCCTGGCTGTATATTTAGTTAAGTGAAAGGTGGTATATAGTCAGAGGCCGGATATGACTTTTTTCCATTTGATAAATCCATTCAAGATAACTCTGGTTACACACTGGGGATATAATCAGGAATAAGACAGCTCTGAATCTTCTGTCTTTGAGTGGGATTAGTGCCAGAAACAGTTGTAGAAATTAGAACATGTTAAATAGGAATGGATGCTGTAAGAGGACAAAAAGGATCAGAGATTAGGAACTACTGAAGAGACTCTTATTTGGGAAGTAACAGAAGGCCTTTGTGAAGAGGTGGTAAGGGGCCAGTCATGCAGAGTACTTGGAGAATGGTGCCTCAGACAGAGGTGGACTAGAGCAGAGATCCTAAGACTAGTAAAAACTTGATGTGTTCCAAAAACTGACAGGAAACTACTATAAAGATAGGGCGAGGTGGGCAGGAAAGAGCTGCAGACTTCATCAGGCTGGAGAACTTTGAGTTTTCTGTGTGTAGTCAGAGGTAATTGAGTAGGAGAGGGAATGATGTGATTTAAATTTAAATATTTTAATGCCTACTCCATGCCTGTCCAGTTCTACATGATCAGGAAATTTGCATGCCTTATTTACTACCTTTCTCCCAATATCTAGTAGAGTGCCTAGCAAATGGTGACAAGTAAATGTTTATTGGATGATTAGATTAAAAAAAAAAACATGCCACTCCACCCTTCAAGTAGCTTGTGTGATAATTGTAAGGTGATGAAGTGGTCTGGTTTTCCTTCAGGCCACGTGTTAACCATCTTATTGTCTGCTTTAGGTCAGAGGCCTGGCTTCAAGTACTGGTATGACAAGGAATGGTTGAGTAGGGGACACATGCATGGCCTGGCATTTTTAGAAGAGAATTACTCCCACCAGAATGCCAAGAAGATTGTGGCCACCCACCAGCTTCTCGGTGATGTGCAGAGAGTGATTGAGGTTCTGCATGGCCTGCAGCTCAAGATGAGCATCTTGCAGTAAGTGTGGCACTTGCAACTTTGGGGCAAGTCTGCTTTGGGATAATCTGTGAAAGCAGAGTATATTTAGGAAATTGGAAAGCCACAAAATCAATGATAAGACAAAAGAGTTTGAGACCTTTACTAAAAATTCTCATTACACAGTAAACATTCTTTCTTTAAAAATCAATTTTATCTACATGTTTATAATCATTTTAAGTGTTTGTCATGTTTTGACAAGTGTGCACCCTGGCAACCCCCACCATAGTCAAGATATGATGTATGTGTTGTGTTTGGTTTTTGTTTTGATGTTCAGTACTGAGTTTTTAATTTTGGTAAAATAACTATTATATAAAATCATATCATCTTAATCTATATAAGCATTTGATTCTGTAAGTATATTCACAGTATAAAACCTATCTCTTTAATCTTGCAAACCTGAAATCTATATCCGTTAAAACAAATAACTCCTTTCCACTTGCCCTCCCCTCCGTCCCTGACAACTACCCTTATATTTTCTTTCTCTGAAATTGGTTACTGGAGGTATATCTTTTTTTTTTTTTTTATTTTTTTTTTTTTTTTTTTTTTTTTTTAAAGATTTATTTATTTATGCATACAGAGTTGGGGTACAGGCCAGAGATGCAGAGGGTGAGAGGATTCACCAGAGACAGAGCGGGGAGCAGAACAGGCAGATCGACGAAGTACACTGCTGAGGGGAGCAGTGGGCGGGTCAGGAGAGGTCTGCCACGCCATGTGGATCTCCTCCAGGGCAGGCGGGAATCGAACTCATGAGGAACTGGTTTCAGCTTCTTTGTGCAGTGCTTTAACCCGCTGCGCCACCAGGGAGGGCCCCTGGAGGTATATCTTATAGTTGAGATTCTATTACTTGTTTTTGTGTGTGTGTGAAAATTATTTCATCCTCAGCTGTTATCTTTGTTGTAGCCTGTGTCAGAATTGCCTTTTTAAGATCAAATAAGAGTACATGGCATATGTTGACATACTTTATTTACTCATCCTACACCTTCTTGATTAGTAAACAAAATAAAGTTCAAAGCTGCTGGAAGAGATAACTTTTGACAAGCCTGCTCTCTGACGTAGTGATTGCTCCATAAATTTATCTTTTGATTGTTTGCTCATATAGAAAAGCTTCAGGCTTTTTGGAGTTGGACTTCTCACTTTTAGTAGCCAGAAGTTTGCGGCGTGAAATTGAGTTTTTGGGGTGGCCTTGTATCAGATGACCCAAATTCATTTATAATCTCCAAGAAAAGTAATGTGGTTCTTACTGGGTTTTATAACCTACCCCACTTTACCAAGTAGGGGCCTGGAGTCAGGCAGTTGCTCTCCATGGTTTCCCAGGGTGGAACAAGGATTAGTGCTCCAGGCCTGGCCCCTGTCAGGTACTTGTCCTGACCTTTCTAATTGCCTCTCTTCAGCAAGACATTGAATTTCCTTTTGATTTTAACACAGTCTGTGTCAGGGACAGTCTCTTTTTTATGAAAATCTCTTAAGTTTTCCTATGAGCCTGCCAGTAGGGGACTATTTTAGGTAAGTCTTCATTGACAAACTAGTGCCTAGAGTAAGTTAGACATAACAGGCCACCCCCTGAAAGATTTCCCTGGTTAGTCCTGGAGGCTTCTTGGCATCCAGCAGATTGCCAGAGCATTGAGATGGCCACATGGTAGTCTGCTTTCTCTTGCATTCTGGTATACAAAAGCCTGACTTCCAAGTACAAATATGACAAAGACTGGGTGAGCAGTACATTCATCAAGGTATTTATTGGCTTGGGTAAAAGCTAAACTGCTATTGTATATCACTATAGCCCAGCTGAACAAAATCTCATATCAAATAATATGGGATGTGGGCAGGGTTCTGAGCTAGATAGGTCGCCTTTTTCCAGGTAGCCCATGGAGTTGGGTTTCTTCTGTCTTACTCCTGACATTCCATGGGGGAGTTACCTCATGTGCATAGTCAAGACAGTTTCACCTCTGTCTCAACCTTGTTCCAGTGTACAGGTAGGGGCTGAGAAAAAAGGGAGCACAAAGTGTCATGAACACATCTAACTGCAGGGGAGGCTAGCTGCTGGAACATTTTACTTTATATAAACCAAATAAATTTTTTTATTAGATGCTAGAAATTGAGATATTTAGCAGTAATCTTGTGAGATCCACCTAGGAAAAATCTTAAGTGATGCTGTGGATTGTAAACATTGTTCTCTCTCTGTGTGTGTTTTCATTTGAGGATTTAATTAGTTGGTGTTCTTTCATTTCACTGAAATGCCAGTACTCCTGCCATATCCTATACATTAGATCCTTGCCCTTCTGACTCCCTGTTTAACTCTTTTATCTCTTTATAGCAGTGACTATCCTGCAATTAAATCTGACTTTTAACAATTCAGAAAAAGATATAGGGAGATCTCACTAATCATTGTATATGGACAAAAGATCCTGCCTGGGGGATGTTGTCCTGGTATGTCTATATACACTTGGATAATCTCTGTTGTCATAGGCCCTGGATCTTCATTTTCAGAACTGTTATTCCTAAGTGACTTGCCAAATTTATTTTCAAAGGTAAACGTTGAAATTGGGAATAACTTCAGATCATCTTTTGTCATGAAAACAGTGGCGTGCATGGTTGTGCTTATGTTCTTCACGACTGGCAGGGCTTGATAAAGAAAGGCCAGGGTCATCCCTGTGTGGAGTAGTAGCTGGGACTTAAGATCTTTTTTTTTTTTTTTTTTAAAGATTTATTTATTTATTCATACAGAACTGGGGTACAGGCCAGAGATGCGGAGGGTGAGAGGATTCACCAGAGACAGAGTGGGGAGCAGAACAGGCAGATCGATGAAGTACACTGCTGAGGGGAGCAGCGGGCCGGTCAGGAGAGGTCTGCCACGCCATGTGGTCACCTCCGGGGCAGGCGGGAATCGAACTCATGTGGAAGCGGCTTTAGATTCTCAGTGCTGTGCTTTAACCCGCTGCGCCACCAGGGAGGGCCGGGACTTAAGATCTTAACTGGGAGGGTGATGAAACTAAGAGTGGGATAAAGCAGAGGCTTATAATTTTCATGGAAGAGGAGGCCTATGCTATAACTTAAATGTTCTTGTGTTAATAGCTTTAACACTTCAGAAGACTAGAAAATCAAGAGTGACTTCCATATTCCTGCCACACAATTATTTCAAAGTTGTGCCTAGGTTCTTTGGTTCCTGGCACTGACTCTAATAACCATGTTGGCGGTGGCCCAGGAACCCAGGCTGCCTTAATGCTGCTGATTGCTTCTTTTTCTTCACCAGGGGTTGGGAGGTGTGGACATTCCTATAGTGCTACAAAAGGATAGTTGTGACCCCTAGGGTTTTATAAGATCACTCCACTCCTTCATTTTATGGTTTATTTCATTTCTGCTGGAAGATTTCAGTAAAATGGAGTTGGGGGTTCCCATATAGGGAATTTGCTGGTGAGTTAAACTTGTGCTTTTCTGCTGATCTGGTTTCAGTGTTTCTCATTTGGGGACTGGGAAGATATTGTTAGTAATTATATACCATGGGTTAGTTCTTTGTGTGGGATTGTCTTAGATATTAGAGGATGTTTAGCATCTCTGGATTCTATGAACTACATGCTAGTCATACTCCTCAACATCAGCAAGCCCACCACATGTTTCTTAACATTTCTGTGAGCTAAGTTTGAGTAATACCTTCTACATCTTTCTGTTTGTTTCCAAAGTCCATTGGTATGTACTACCTTCCAGCTGTGAGCTGCTGATAACTGGAAGATGACACTCAGTACTGTTTACTTGTAGTTTCTTTCTCCCTCTCTTTTTTTCTTTCCTTTCATTCAATGAGCAGATATTATCATGTAAGTCCTAGGTGGTAAAGAAGTGTTAAAGGTGGAGTTTATCTAGAGTAGTAGATTTTAAATTTTAAAACTTTATCACACAGTAAAAAAATGCATTTTATATCACTTTTGTATAAAACTAAAAAGTGTTTCACTAAACCTACTGTTTCTTAAAATGATGCACTGATATTTTCTATTTTTTTGTGTGTTTTTGTTACAATTGATTATGGTCCAGTAAGTTAATTTAATGATCCTCTATTGGGGAAGAAACTCAAATAGTGAATGATTCTGGGAAATGCTAAAGTTGTATGTGTTTGTATATGTGCATGCATGTGGGCAGAGCCTCAGCAGATTCTCTAAGGAATCTGGACCAAAAGTGGACCAAAATCCATTTTCCTTAACAGTAAACTTTTCTCTTTGAAATGTGAAAATAGAAGATTTTAGAGGAATTTTTGAAAGCTTTATTGCAGCCTACACATAGATGACATTTGATCCCCCCCTCCCACTCTTCATCATCACTGCAGTTTTTTAAAGCATGCCATCGCATTTCAGGATTATCATGATTCCTAATAAGGTTATTTTACTGTCACATTTTAAGAGCACTTTACCACCAAAAAGGTACTTCTGTTGAAATTAATTCATGTAATCTTTATCAAAGCAGACAGATGGTAAGCCTAGTTTTAGAGAAAAGAAAATGGAAATTAACTATACTGCTAATCATCAGCTGAATTACACACAATGTCAAGTCCCACTGTGGGAATGGGCAAGCAAGTCCCACTTCATGTTTATTGCTCTCACAAACAGGCGCACTGCCTGGAACAAACAAAACTTGCTTGAAATTGGTCTCCTCATAGATTGTGTATTTAGGTTGTATCTTGCTTGGCAAATGGTGGTTCGTGGCCAGAGGACCCAGATGAGAGCAGTTGCGCCAAAGCCCTTTTCTGTATTTGCCCTCCCAACAGAAGCAGAGAACATCCTGATCTACAGCTGTGGTGTCAGCCGTGGAAACAGCACTCAACAGAGGGGAGATCTCATTCCAAACATATTCACGTTGCTGAAACGAAGTGCAAGGAGGAAACCCCAAGCTATAGAACTTTGAATGGGGCAGTGGATAAGCCTGTGCCCTTACCCCTGCCCCGGTCTGTGGAGGAGTCCTATATCACTAGCGAGCACTGCTACCAGAAGCCCCGCGCCTATTACCCTGCTATGGAGCAGAAGCTAGTGGTGGAAACCCGAGGCTCTGCCCTTGATGATACAGTCAACTCCCTCCATGAGAATGGTGATGATTGCCTCTCCCCACGCCTTGGCTGGCCTCTAGACCAAGATAGGAGCAGAGGGGACGGTGACCTCAAACCTAGCTCCCCAAAGGTATGTGATTCTCTTATTCTTATTTCAGTGTTTGAGTGCTTGTAGGTTAGGGTTTAATGACCTGTGGAAGATATTTATTATAAAATTGTGTGTATTATGAAACTGTATTTATATTTGTTTATCATAGACTTTTTTTTGTGTTAAGATGGATGCATGTTCAGGAGATTCCATTTAAACCCATGGTCATTGATTATAGGAAACACCCACAGAATGACACAGTTATTGGGGGTGGGGGTGTGGCAAATAATAAGGAGAAAAGGACTGATGAGAACTTGAGAAATGGAAATAAGTTTTTTCTTTAATAGAATCAGCTTTATAATGGTACCTTAAATACTGATTCTTAGCATGAGCAAAGAAGGAATCAAATATTTTGTTGCTAGGCTTGTTTTTTTTTACACAATTGTACAAGCTTTATTTTGACTGTTAACTTCATAGCCCAGACTTAAGAACAGTACGTTTTTGGCAAAATATTTGCAGGTTGTGTCAGTTTTTCCAAGAGCTACTGTTATTTTTTTTTTTTTTTTAAATTGAAGACATTATTTTCTGAATCCTTCTTGTGTCATCCCCCCTTGCCAATGGTTCACCTTTATTTTACTAAAAAATTTATTTATTTATGCATACAAGAATGGGATAATGTAGGACAGAGGTCCAGGTTCACCAGAGACAGAGCAAGGAGCAGGACAGGCAGATTTACTGAAATACACTGCCGCCAGGAGCAGTGGGTGGGTCAAGAGAGGTCTGCTGCACCTTGCAGGTCAGCTCCCTGGCTGGGAACTTAACTCATGCTGCAGTGGCTGGGAATAGCTTCATAGTGGTTCATCTTTAACTGTTCGCTGTTCTCATTCTGCCCCATTCTAGGTTATCATTGAGACTTTGTATCATTTGAGAGCTTCTCTGCCCTCATCACCCTTCCTTTCACAGGCATTTACATTATGAGTTAGTATCACCAGCATCAAACATATTGCATAATGCTGAGGGAGGTAGTAGGTCATAAACTCCTAAAGGGTGGGCATTGTACATCATTCATCCTGTGCTCTTGCCACTGTCCAAACAGTGCTGGGTCAGGCTGGTAAGTACAATTTCATGTCTGGCTTCAACCACTTACTGTGAGATTCTGAGTGGGTCACTTCACTTCTTCAGGTGTGTCTCCTCTTAGTTACTGTGTAGTATAGCTGTGAAAAGCTCTTAGCTAATTGCTGTGCACTTAAGATCTAAAAAATACTAGTTAGAATCTATTTCCTTTCAGATGAAAGTTTGAGATCACAAACACCAAAAAGTTTTGTGATCCTGCAGACTACACAGATTTCCTAGAGGCATCTGGTACATAACAAAAGATCAGGAAATACTAGGTGTAAAAGAAGGCAGGGTTAAACATCTTTCATTGATGGTAGACTAATTGTACTTTGGCACCTTAACCTATTTCATCCTCATGAACCTTTATTTTTTTTTCTCATGAACCTTTAAAATATGTTTTACTGGGCCTCCCTGGTTGTGCAAAGGGTTAAATCTCAGCATGAGTTGGATTCAGGCCAAGGAGGTAATAACCCACATGGTGCAGTAGACCTATCCTGTCTTGCCCACTGCTTGCTTCCCTTAGCAGTGTATTTCAGTAGATCTGCCTGCTATGTTCCCCACTCTGTCTCTAGTGAATCCTCTCAACCCTTCTTGCCCACCCCCCAGCACAACTGGCCTGTACCCAACCCTTCTTCCCCACCCCCCAGCACAACTGGCCTGTACCCATAAATAAATAAGTCTTTTTTCAAAAGTATGTTTTACTACCTCCATCTTTCCCTTGAGAGAACAGAGGCTTAGAAAGGTGAATTAATTCATCAAGATTCATATATTTAGTAGAGTCAAAACTAGGGCTTAAAGAGTAGTTTGTGTAACTTCCATGTAACTAACTCTTTTTTTAGTATATGTGCTGCTGAAGGAGCACCCATGTAACTAACTCTTTCCTGCCTTTCTAGTCTAGAAATTTCTATAACATTCCTGTTCTGGTCAGATCTAGGGCTCTAAAAGCCATTCTATGAGGCCTGCTTCAGGCCTGGGCAATGGGCTAGTCTGAGAAACAGCTGTGGGATCCTCTGCAACAGAGGTCTGTGCTGCCCTTGAGTGGTTGGTGTATTTCAGCAGACATACTTCTAGCTAAAGTCCAAGAGGGAGGAAAGGGATATGTAGGGACTTAGAGTATTTAAATTCAGCTGGGTTCTGTATAGTTGCAAACACTGGATGTTTGAAGTGACTAGGAGCTCTCTCTACCCAGTAATCTAAATGCTGTTTCATCCCCAGGTGAGGGATTTTATCTCCAAAAAGATCCTACCAGAAGAAGCCCCTGCTCGAAAACTGCTGGACAGAGGTGGAGAGGGGCTGCTGAGCTCCCAACACCAGTGGCAGTTTAACCTGCTGACTCACGTGGAATCTCTTCAGGATGAAGTCACGCATAGGATGGACTCTATTGAGAAGGAGTTGGATGGTAGGGCTTCTTCCTTGGCTCCTTGCTAGTTGGCAGGCACTGCCAGCTTGTGTGCCCACTGGCTCACAAGTTGTCTTCTGACCCCCCAATACTGTTCACCAGACACTTGTATTCTTGGCTCCTCCTCCTTTCAGCCTCACCACTTCCATTCCCCGTTGCTTGGATAAGATTTACTTTTATTATTTACTGGGAACTTCTAAAGTTTATGTGGTGTCAGGGATCTTGCTTCACTTGCCCAATTCCTTCTGCAAAGGCGGTTCAGTAACTGGATTCTACCTGCAGGAAATGGGTGATCTGAGCAAATCTTTACTAACCAATTATGTTACTTAATTGAGTCAACTGAGGATTACTATTAAAAGACTTTTATTTTAGCTTCTGGTAACACCTAAAATGAAGCCTTTTTTATCATTAGAAATTTAAGAACTTGAGACATTTGTGTAGTCCCTCGGTATTTTCCCCAGGTAATAAGATAATAGATGGGCCTGGAAGACAGATGATCATGATCAAGTTCAACCACTTTTGTAGAGAGGATGATGAGTCGGTGTTGCCTGAAATGGCCCTCTCTTTTATTCCCCCACATGTGATCAGATGGGCTAAAGTGCTGAAATTCTTGCAAATCGAGTATTGGAATCTCACTGGTTTTTTTCTCTCTCTTCTGCCTAGTGTTAGAGAGCTGGCTGGACTACACTGGGGAACTGGAGCCCCCAGAGCCACTGGCTAGGCTTCCACAGCTCAAGCATTGCATCAAGCAGCTGCTGATGGACCTGGGCAAGGTGCAGCAGATTGCACTCTGTTGCTCTACATGAAAGTGGGCCCCTAGAAGTATTGGGGGCACAATCTTGGGGCACCTGCAGGAGGAACTTCACATATTTAAATAAATAAACCTAGCATGCCGAATGCATGTGATACTGGCCGACTTCAGGGATCTGGGCAGGGGGTGCGATGGACATTGGACAAAGAGGTCATTTTGGCTGCTGGAGGGGAGGGCGCACTATGATCTCAAAGCCTACCAAGAAGATAGCGGATAGACTCCTGGGATTCCCTTCATCTGTGCACATTGTTGAATGGAGAGTGAGTCTTTTTGCACAAGCTTCATTTGAAATCGTGCCACTGATGATAAATGGAATGAGAGCCAAAAATACATAGTTGGAAACAGTTGTAAATTCAACTTGCAACTTATTTAATTGACTTTTCTGTCAGGTTGGGGCATATGCCGAACCTTCTGGTTTCTGACTGGCCTGGTTTCTGGCAGCAGGCATCATTTTCATTTTTTCAGCTGCGTGGGAATGTTGACTTCGCCATTCTGTGGAGGTGAGGAAGGAGCAGAGGCTTTGGCTTCCCTCCTCCTTAGGACTCTTCATTTTTGTCATCACATCCCTTGCATGACATGATGGTACTGGGGACAAGTTTTATATGCTTTGCCCCAGAGTTGGTCGGGCTGTGTCTTTTGTAACAGAGCCCACACAGCCTGTGGAGGAGCTAGAATCTCACTGTAATAAGAACATGGGAGGAATTACAAGCTGAAGCAGGCAGGGTCTGGAACCCAAAGAACAGCATTTTCTACCTACTTATTAAAATAACAGCTTCCCAGTTCTATTTAATGTTCAAGAAATGTCTCCTGAAATTTTGAAAACTCTCACTGTAAAGGTTTGTTATAAAGAATGTGGTTTGGGGACTTACCTTATTTTATATTGTTGTAAACACACTTAAGATTCTAAATGTGCCGCTTTTCTCCTTTCCTGAAGGGTATATGTCCAGTAGTTGGCATTTTCAGAGTCGTTTTCATGTCATGTCCCTTACCATTTTAAATTCCTGGTTGTATAATTTTGTGAGATCAAGGTGATTATGCTGCTTAAGGTTCAGGTACAACCTATTTGTTACCCTTTGAGACAATATTTTAAACTTGCAGGTTACCAGTCAACGTCAGGTGTAATTACTATATTGTTATTCCTTATTAGGCAATGTTAAAGAAAATGTTCCATGCTTTGAGGAGTGACCCATTTCACTGTTAGTTTTTTTTTATAAGACAAAAATCAAAGCACAGCTGCCCATTAATACAGTTTAATTATGGGTTTATGAATCTGTAATGTTATATGCTGCAAATATTTACTATGTAAACGTGAAGTAGCCAATATCTCAGTAGCAATGACAGTATCTCCTGCAACCTTTCCAATGGTTAGGCTTTAAGGCACAGGTCATTGTGGTAATGGAGTCTTCTGTATCAAGATTTGCTTCAGGGAATGCTCTGCCTAGTAATTTGTTCACCATTTGATACAGAATGAATCGAGGACAAGTTGACCTGCTGTAGCTTACTTATCAAAGGGAATTTATGTGGCTGTAACATCTGTAATAAAACTGACACAATTCCTCTACAAAAGGCTATTTCCTATTGCTGTTTGGTGTTTCTGATTCAGGAAGAAATGCTCAAATAGTATATATACATGGAGTGTTTGGATAAATTATTAGACAGCCACTTTAAGATAACTGTGTGATGCTTGTCTGAAAAGAAAAGAAACAGGATGATTTTCTGTAGCCACAACTGTGAGGTTATGACACTTGCATACTGTACTGATTTTTCTTTTCTGAAAGTACATTTGAGTATCACATCTGGGAATGCTTTAAGGTAGTCAATCTCATGTCTTTTTCAAAGATGGGAGCAGAAGTGGAATTACCCTAATTTTGCCTACTGGCCATTATTGGTTTAAGTTTTGTAAAGGAAACAATCCTATTTTACTCACTGTGATTTTTGTTGTTAGGGAAGCAAGGGAAGACTCCAAATTCCAATAACCTCAGTGTGCTTTCCTAATTTAAGCCATGTTGATGTTGAGGGGCAGCTCCCCACCCCCCATTCCTGGGTCAAGTTGTATTAGCCCCAAGTTGGAGCACTGGATAACTGTTATTTGCAAATATTACTGTTACCATTTAGAAATACCTAAACACTACCTAAGTTTTGAGAAAAAACTACCCACCTATAAAAAAATTGCCTTGACAAAAAGTTTTGGTTTGAATAATCATTTTGTTTCTTTACATGTTGAGTGTATGCAAGGTAGACCCTTGATGAGCTAACATTGCACTGTGGATTCGTATCTATGTTTATGCGCTATTAGAACAAAAGGCGCTGTATATATAAATGTTGCTTTGAGGCAATATTTGCAAAACACGCAAACTTCTGTATGTATTTGGAAAAAATAAACAGGTTTTTGTTGCTATGTTTCAGTAACTTATTTATTTATGCACAAAAGAGCTAGGGTATAAGCTAGAAGTGTGTTGGGGGTTGAGGGGAGAGGTAAGAGAATTCATCAGAGACTAGTGGGGAGCAGGATAGGCATCTACTGAAATACAATGCTGAGGGGGCAGGGAGCAAGACAAATTATCTGCTGTGCCATGTGGGCCAGCTCCCTGGCTGGGTTTTGAACTGGTGTTGCAGTGGTTGCAGATAACTTCATAGTGCTGAGACTCAACCCCTTGTGCCACAGGGAGGCCCTCAGTGTTACTGAATTGATAAAAGTATGTCACTTTTAATATCCATTACTTAATTTTCTTTAGTCACTACTTTTGAAAAGGAAGTCTGCGTCTACAATCTAAAGGTTCATCTTCTGCCGGGAGGCAGATGCAAGTTCAAGATCCTGAATCTCCAGATAGTATGCAAATGCTTTGACTTCAGTTAAGTATCTAATATTCAAGAGAAACTTCCCATACCAGCCTCTAAACCCAGTCTAAGATTTGTGGTTCAAGCTGTGCAGGCTTATGAGATTTTGGTTGTTAAAAGCAAGTACAGGGAAGACAGGTCTGTCCTTTCTTATGAGATGGCATTTCTTTCCTTAAAAATGAGACTCCAATTAGGGTCTTCTAGGACCAACCCACATTGCATATGGATCCCAATTAGCACCTTGGGTGGGCAGAGATTCAGGAAATAGTAGATTTATGAACAGATGATTTCATAGCAGAGCTTTTTGGTAAAGTACAATTTGCCAGTTACTTGCATAATTCCTTTCTAAACATTTCTGCTTATTTTAAAAAGAGAAGCAGTTGGTGAATCTTGATGAGTAAACTAGAGATGACAAACATGACCTAGCCCCCCTCTGCAAGGACAGGCACTAGACACAACTCATTAAAATAAACCTATAGTGTAGGCCTATCGGAAACCCCATTGCCCAACGGGCAGACTGGTTGTGTACGTTGGTGGAATTATTAGTATAGAACCTGTAGCCATTTATAAGCACTTAATAGAATCAACTATTTGTCCTGCAGAGTCCCACAACCACCTATAAGGCAAGACATTTTTATCTATTCAAGTAGGAAAACAAGTTATGACTGTAGCTAGTGAAAGGTTAAGGGGTGAGTGAATATGGAACCCGGGAGGCTGGAATCCTTAATTACATCTACTCCAACTAAACAAAGGAAATCCAAGTCGGTCCTGGGCGAGTAATGAGCAGGAAAATTTTCCAGATGTGGAGGAGGCCCAGACCTAGGCCCAGGGGACCGGTAGTAATCTCACAAACGCCAACGAAGGCCAAGAGCATAGCAAACAAAGGTTTTATTCTCAATTTCGCCATGAGCCAGAAAGTAGGCTGGAAACAGGCTCGGGAAAAACAACTCAGGAAAGGACGAACGGAAGAGAGAGAACAGACTGCCAGAATCACCACAACTCGTTTTCAATAAACGCGGAGTGGGGAACCAGGTTCAACCCCTCCACAGACAATCTTGGCTCCAGTCCAGGAAGCGCCCGGCCCGGCCGCCGGCAGCTCAGCCGGTGATGCGCACATCGGTGCGGCGGCGAAGGCGCCGGGCTCGCGCCGCCTCCGGCAAGATGGCGAGCAGCTGCTCCTGCACCAGCATCTCCACGATCTGCTCCTTCGTGCGGATGTCAGGTCGCAGCCATTGACGGGAGAGTTCCCGCAGCTGCCGGAACGCCTCCCGCGGGCCAGCCGCGTCCTGGTAGCGGAACTGGCGGAAACGTTGGCGGAACGTCTCGGGGCCCGGCCGGGAGCCGCCGAAGCCCAGGAGCGAGCGCGGGGCGGCTTCGGCAAGCGGCGCTGGGCCCGGCAGTGCGGGCGCGAGGGGCAGTTCCAGGGCCGCGGAGGCCGCCGCGGGAGGTGGCGGAGTCATTTCGGGGTTCGCGGCGTCGGGGCTGGAGGATTCGAGGGCAGGCGGTGGGGCCTCAGGAGTCGACGAGGAGCCCGCACGGCTGGGTTCCGGGACTGACCTCCGGCCAACTCCATCCTGTTGGTCCAGTGGTGGCGCGGGGATCGCAGCAGCCGCCAAACTCGCCTCGGTCGCTGCCATGACTCCGGCTTTGAATGTCACTCTTTGTCGGGCAACTGTGGGCTCAGCACCGCGTATGCGCAGGGGTGGGGTAAGGACGGCGGCGTCTTCAGCAGAGGGGCAGAGCCAGCGGGACCCTGAGGGACGCGAACTTGGTCAAGCTGACCCGGGCCGCGCCGAGTGAGGCGCCCGGGCAGGCCGGAAGCGGAAGTCTCGCTGGCTTCTCTATGAGCTTCTCGGAGCGCGAGCGCCGGCAAGCCCGGTATTGGCTCCAGAGAGCGGCGCCCCCTCGCGTTCGCGCGTCGCCTCAGGAGGAGGCTGAAAATGAGGCGCGGCAAGCCAAAGTAAGCGCGTGGCGGGAAGCTCTGCATTTTGGCACCTCCGCGCACCGCCTGGATGAGGAGGTGAAGCGGAAGGAACCTGAGGAGAAGGAAGAGGAGCCGCGCTGGAGAAGGAGAAGCGCGGTGTCCTTTTCCACTCAGGATGACAGGTGACTCGACCGTGGTTAGGGTGATAGCTAGCCTGGAGCTTGCAGGACCTGGATAGGGCCCATCTCAGAAAGTTCTCTGGCATTGTCCGAAGAGGAGGGCGGTTGCCCCCACCTTATTGCCAGCGTGACAAAATACAGCTAAGATGCTCAGCACACATAGGGAAATTTGCCTCTTATCTGTAAAGTGTATATATAATAGAATTTACCTCAAAGAAGCTGTGAGATAATTCGGTGAGGTGATGCTTTTAAAAACAAGTAGCTCTGACAGCACTTTGGTATGTGATATTATATTCTGTTTGAAACTTGACTCACATAGAGGTTTTGTACCTAGAAAGAGACTAGGAGAGATGGATGAAAGACTTTGCATGAACCTTGCAGCCTCTTTGAACTTTGAGGAATGAGTGGGCTTGGTTAACAACTACCAGTACCCCAGGTCACCCCAATATAAGACTTGCCGCTTCCATAAGATGTGTTCTTTAAGATAGATAGATTTTCCCAGAACAATTTTCACTGCCTGAAAATCATTGAAAGTGATTTTTAAAGGTTTATGCACACAAAAACTGGGGTACAGACCAGAGGTGGGGGGGGGCGGTGAGAGGATTCACCAGTGACAGAGTGGGGAGCAGGATAGGCAGATCTACTGAAACACACTGCTAAGGGGAGCAGCAGGCAAGACAGGAGAGGTCCGCTGAGCCATGTGGGTCCCCTGGGCAGGGATCGAACTCAGGTTGCAGTGGCTGCAGATAGCTTCATAGTATTGAGATTTAACTCCTTGCATCACCAGGGAGGCCCCAACATCCTGTTTTTACCTGAAGTTATTTAAAGAGGTGACAAGTCCTTTCACTTAGTTTTTACTGGGTCTTTCATATGTATACAGGAGGCATTCATGTTATGATTAAACTCCTTTTTGTTATTTTATTCTTGTCAGTCTGTCTGAAATTAATTTGACTACTTGTCAGCCTAGAGGAACTGAAAGGGGAAGGGAATATTGTCCCTGAACTCCAAATTAGTTTTTTTGACAGGATAAATTCACTGACTAGAAGCTGGTTGCCTGTGAATGTTGGCAGTGGAAGAGATCCTGGGATTTTTGACAAAAGCATCAACAAAAAGGTAAAAATGGTTACCACATCAGCCTTTTACATCTCTCTGGCAGGTCCAGACAACTAGTGAGGCTGTTATGGGGCAGACCCAGAGGGAAAAAGGGATAACCAGATTGTGTGAGTCCTCACCCACATGCTGAAAAATACAGGAACAGTCCCCAAAGCAGATACATGGAGAGAAACAAGAAAAAAGAGAAAGAATTTAACTACATATGGGGCAAGGAACGCAAGAGTTAAGAGAAAGAAAAAGTCATTGGCTGGCACATGACTGGATGTTCTCTATTCTACTTGTAGATAGCACCTGCGGAGCAGAAATCAGTGTACAGTTTTTTGTTGTTTTTTTTTTTTTAAAGATTTATTTATTTATTCATACAGAACTGGGGTACAGGCCAGAGATGCGGAGGGTGAGAGGATTCACCAGAGACAGAGTGGGGAGCAGAACAGGCAGATCGACGAAGTACACTGCTGAGGGGAGCAGAGGGCGGGTCAGGAGAGGTCTGCACGCCATGTGGTCACCTCCGGGGCAGGTGGGGATCGAACTCATGCGGAAGTGGCCTTGACTTCCCAGTGCTGTGCTTTAACCCGCTGCGCCACCAGGGAGGGCCCAGTGTACAGTTTTTATAGGGGAGTATGCGGGATAGCTTGGAACCCAAACCTGCCTGCTCTAGATAGGTTCTGCCATCTGCCACATCAAGACAAAACTCATTCTACTGCTAAGACCTTCAGTGGAAAGGAACATTAATACAATTTATGTGCAATAAAGAGAAAGGAAAGAGTAGATAAAATAGTTTTCATACAAAACATCCAAAGTTACCCATCCCCAAGTGGGTAAATGCCTGCCACAGGACTGGCCCAAAGCAGGGCCACTGAGGCCCAAAATCTTGCCACAATTCTAAGGTACCTTCTGATGGAGACCCATAGAAAGGGGTCAAAAGGAGTCAGACAAGTATAGATAAGTGCAAAATCAAAAGCCCAAGTTAAGATGATGTCTGCCATTGTTAATCTTACTACAGTTCTCACTCACATCTGTTTAATGTCTTCTTCTATGTTCCCCAAGTTCATGGTACAAGTCCAAGGCTGAGAAGCACATCTTCTTCACATGTCTCTCTGCTCCAGGTGTCTCCTCTAGATTATCTCCTTGATCTCCATTCTCTCCTCTCCTCAGCTCAGTCCTTTCTCCTCTCTCAGTTCTCTCAGTCTTTCTAGCTTTACCACCCTGCCTAGCTCCACTTATTTTTAGAATGGGTCAGGGAAACTGGATCCTCCCTCTCCCCAGGGATTATCCAATCAGAAGCCCCCAAAGTGGCTCAGTACACGTGCTTGAGCTCGTTTTTAAAGTTGGTGGCTCTTCTCTGCCCCTAGTTTCCAGCAGCCCCTGTTTAGGAATTGGGAGTGGACTCCAGAAAGTTCCACCTTTTTTTTTTTTATTTATGCATACAGAACTGAGGTACAGACCAGAGGTGCAGGGGCAGTGAGGGGATTCACCAGAGACAGAGTGGGGAGCAGAACAGGCAGATATACTGAAATATCTAGTGTTCTGAAAGGGTCCCATTCAAGGGAAGGAGGGGCGGAGGAAAGGTCCCTCCTGCCATGTCTCTATGTGAAATGAGGCAAGTGCTTCTTCTCACTGGACCACAATTAAAAATAAATTTATTTATTTATGCATTCAGAATTGGGGTACAGACCAGAGGTGCAGGAGCGTTGAGAGGATTCACCAGAGACAGAGTTGGGAGCAGAACAGGCAGATTGACGAAGTGCACTACTAAGGGGAGCAGCGTGCAGATCAGGAGAGGTCTGCCGCACCAGGTGGATCAAACTCTGAGGCAGGGATTGAACTCATGCTGAAGTGGTTTTAGTTTCTTAGTGCTGTGCTTTAACTTGCTGTGTCACTAGGTAGGGACAGTTCCATCTTTTTACCAAGCATTGGCGCTGCGCACCACCTACTTGGCTCAGAGGATGTTCTTCACTGTACCTCCTACAAGGCATTTTTCTCTCTTAATTTATTATTGGGAGGAGAACTTTTTTGGTGGAACTAGTTCCATGGGCACAATGACTCTTGGTTTTCAGTATTCTTGGGTTGCAAGTGCTTCTAAAATTAAATCCTGAAGTTTGCTTTGGATTGCAGTGATCCTAAATCAATTTGGAAAGAACTGACATCTTAATGTAGAAAAAACAGGCCCAAAATGGAGTCATTCATGCCGGGTCCTTACTCAGATGTAATATTGAATCCCATTGCAATTTCACCCTCTCCTAAAAGTATAATCCTGAACATATCAATCTGGAGTATTCTCATCAGTGCTAGTGAAGTCATCTGTATGATGAGATCCCTTTGCTATTCCCTGAGGAAAGTTGACTTTACCTGAAATAACCTTTTGCTAAATACCTTATCCCAACCAGTTTCTGTCTATAAATATCCTCTATTTTGTGTAACCCCCTGCAGTATCTAGATGGGATGCTGCCCCCAAAATTCACAAGTCATTTAATAAATCCAGTTAGATTCCTAAATTTGTGAATTCAGAATTTTTTTAAAACAATATAAAGACTTCCAATCCATAAACATATGTCTTTTTGCTTGGATATTCCTTAAAATTTCTTACATCAATGTTTTATAGTTTTCAGCATTGGGAACCTGCACATATTTTGTTATATTTGTACGTAACTATTTGATGGTTGATGGTTTTAGTGCTGCTGTGAGTGCTATTTAATATTTCTTGATTTCTGATCATTTGATAATGTATAAAAATAAAGTTAACTTTTATCTAGTGATGGATCCTGAACTTCATTAAGAAAGAAAATTCATTCCTCTTGGTGTTGTTTCAAGTTTTTATACACATACACACACACGCACACACACTTCAAAGTAAAAGAAGAGTAATTGTTAACTTCTTTTTTTCTCATCCTTTCCATGGTACCATCTTGCAAGTACAGCATCAAGTGTAGTGTGGACTGTTTGAATATTGTATTCTGAGAAGTGCTACTATCTTCTAGTTGTTTGTCAGCAAAAAGTTGATGGTCAGATGGGATGGCCTTCTTGTCTTTGACACTCTCAGTGGTGTTGCTGGGCTCAGTCATGAGGGTGATAGTCTTGCCTTTCAAGGTCTTCACAAATATCTGCATCTCCATGTCTTCTAGGCCTCCTTGTTGAAGAAAAAGAAAGAGCTCCCATACAGTCTTAGTGTTGTTAGTTCCCCTTCCAGCTTTAAACATGCTTCTACATGTTTCCTAGTTTATTAGGTTTAAAAGGTGTCTTAAAATGTCTAGCTCATCACATGAAAAAGCAATTGTAACTATGTGAGATGATGAATATTAATCATAGCAATCATTTCTCACTGTAAATATACATATATCATATCATGTTGTATATCTCAATTAACATGATCTCTTAATTATATCTCAATAAAACTGGGAAAAAGATTTAGATCTATAAACATTAAAGAAACCCATGTACTTGTGGTACCTCATGTCTTTATCTCTGTGCTTGTTAGCTATATATTTTCCTGGTTTCTTTTCAATTGTTTATTTTCCCTTACTTGCTTTTTTGTAAACCTATCCTATTTATTCAGCACAGGTAGCTTCCTTTTAGATGTTGCTAAGACTTTTGAGGTTTTTAAAAAACACTTCTGAGCTCCACCAGTGCCATCTTCTCTAGTTGTTTCATCATTTCTTCTTTGAACTGTCGCATCTTTGCTTTGATCTCGCATTTTAAAATTCATTAAGCCCTTTGAAGCCTTTGTTGTTCACGATTATCATCTGGTTCATGCTAATTTTTTTTTCTGAGGCGTCCCTTTTATCTGTCATTTGTTTTTCTTGTTTCTTGCCTTCTTCTCCCACTTTTTTGTTTATTTATTTGTATAGGTTTGGCACTGTTCACTTTTACTGTAACTTCTCTTTAAATGAAATAGTTCTTCCTGGGCCAGCTTTTTTTTTTTTTTTTAAGATTTATTTATGCATACAGAACTGGAGTACAGGCCAGAGGTAGAGGGGCAGTGAGAAGATTCATCAGAGAAAGAGTAGGGAGCTGAACAGGCAGATTGAAGTACACTGCTGAGGAGAACAATGGGCAAGACAGGAGAGGTCTGCTGTGCCATGTGGGTCACCTCCTGGGGTGGGGATCGAACTCGTGCTGAAGAGGCTACAACTAGCTTCATAGTGCTTCAACCAGCTGCACCACCAGGGAGGACCCCCAAATAACTTTTATGAAATAAGTGTGTTTGATAAATCCTGATAAAGTTTACATAAAAAGAGAAATTGAAAGATTCATCTCATTTATAAATATTTCCAGAAACTAAAAAGGGCCCCCCCCTGATGGCCTCGGGGTTGAATCTCAGTGCTGTAACTATTAGGGCCTGAGTTTCATCCCTAGCCTGGAAACTGACCCACATGTGGCACAGCAGGCCTCTCCTGTCTGGCCCACTGCTCTCCTCAGCAGTGTACTTCAGGTATTCTGCCTCTTCTACTCCTCATTCTGTGTCTGGTGAATCCTCTCCCTCCCTACTCCTCTGGTCTGTATCCCAGTTATGTATGCACAAATACATAAATCTCTAAAAAAAATAATTTAGTAGTTTTCCTTCTTTTTATGTCCTGGAACAACTTTAAAAATATACATTGAGATGAGAGTATCTAAAGATGTCTAGGAAAACTTTCAGGACCTGTTTTTTGTTTGTTTGTTTTTTGAGTTGGTGATAATGAGAAAGCATATTTACAACTTATTTTTTCTAGGAAAATTAGTCTATTTGGATGGTTTCTATTAGGGTCATTTGGTAAATTGTGATTTCATAGAAAATTATCCATAAAATTTTAGTATTTAAGTGTTGACAACTAATTGGAATTTAAAGAATAACATTCAGAATATTGCAGCTGGTTAGATATGGCATGTGGACCATTTTGCTAGTATTGGTAATAGTCAAAAGGTTTTAGGTCTCAAAGAAGTTATATAGTTCCTCTAAGGAATTGAAGATAGGTACTGTGCCTGACAGGAAATAAAATTGTGTGAGGTGAGGACTTGGTGAACTGAAGATTCTCCAACTTAAGATAAACAAGTTAAATTTTAACAGTATTTTAACCAAAACACCATGCAGGTTAAAAAGCAGTTTGCAAGTGCAGTTTGGCCCATGGGTGCTTGGCTTGTGATCTCTACCTCCCCATCCTTCTTCCACCCACACCTCCTTGGTACCTCATATTCCAGCCACAGCTAGTGTTCCCTACCCTTCTGGTGTCAGAAGCATTTTCTTTTTCTATCATATTATAAATTTGTAAATTAAGACCATGTCTTACTCACCTTTGTACACAGCTATAATTTCATACTTGTACACAGAGTTTTATAAATCATTGTTGTACAATTTACTTGTTGCATGCATGACTTTTTTGTTGAACAATATAGGGATATTTTTTTTAAAGATTTATTTATTTATGCATACAGAACTGGGGTACAGGCCAGAGGTGTAGGGGTGGTGAGAGGCTTAACTCAAGACAGAGTGGGAAACAGAACAGGCAGATCAGCGAAGAAGACTGCTGAGGGGAGCAGTGGGTGGGTCAGGAAAGGTCTGCTTCTCCCTGTGGGTCACCTCCGGGGCAGGGATAGAACTCATGTGGAAGTGGCTTTAGCTTCTTAGTGCTATGCTTTAACCCACTGTGCCACCAGGGAGGGCCTGGGATATTCTTATCTGAAATATTATTTCAGGCTAACTCTAATTAAATTTTATTGCAAAAAAATGAAGCCCAGGCTGTTTAAGTGATTAACCAAAATCATATAGGAATTGGACCAGTGCTCTCTCTGATGTTTTTCCCTATTAAGAGTTTAATCATAACATTAGGAAATGGGACAGAGGTAGATCTTCTTAATTTCTAGAACTGACTCGAATGTCTGACTTTGAGTCTCCAGCCTGCTTTCTTATAGACAGTTTAATTTAGATGTCTTCAGACAAATTGAGGTCCAGTCTAGTGAATTTCCAGAGATACAATGTTGACTCATCTTGGACCAGTTCAGAGTTCTCCACATCCTTCCCTAACACTGATACAATTCCTAGGGAAATTATATAACTACCTTAGAAGTGAGATTAGGAGTGTCCACTTTTGGGGTTGAAACAGCAGTCTGGGGAGAGGGGAGAATGACTACCAAAGGGTGATTGTGTTGGTGGGTCCTCCCCGACCTACCTATAACTGCAGGACATGACCCCAAAACAGTATGAAACAACAATAAAGATTTATTAACGAGGTGTAAAAAAAGGGAAAAGACAGTGTATGTACATAGGCTGCCACATGGCCTGATGCTGTGTGTCCTACCCCAGATAGACTCTGCTGAGCAGAGAAGTCCAAGGCAAAGCTGTATGTGGCAAACTGGTGGCTTCTCCAGATATCACTCCTCACCCAGTGGTTTTACTGCCAAAAGTTCCAGCAGTTTTATGCTTTAGAAGCCCCAGCAATTCATCTGGTCAAAAGCCTCAGCTCCACCCTCATTTCCCACTAGCCTCCTGTCAGGAGTTGCAGTTTGCAATACTATACCTTCTACCTTCAAATTGACATCAAGAGGTAGAATAAAGAAAGTTCCACCTTATACTATCAAGTTGATTGCAAGGGATACCCTCTGGCTTGAAATTTGTTTCTTACTGTACCACTTGTGAGGGTTGGAGAGGGGTAATGTCTCATCACATTGATCCTTTTTTTTTTTAAAAAGATTTATTTATTTATGCTTACAGAACTGGGGTACAAGCCAGGGTGTGGTGGGTGAAAAGATTCACCAGAGACAGAATAGGGAGAAGAACAGGCAGATATACTGAAATACACTGCTGAGGAGAGCAGCGGGTGGGTCAGGTGAGGTCTGCCATGCCATGTGGCTCAGCTCCCTGATAGGGGATCGAACTCGTGCTGTAGTGGCTTTGGAGAGATTCATAACGCAGTGCTTTAACCTGTTGTGCTACCTGGGAGACCCCACATTCTTGATCCTTTTTACTGTCAACCTCCAAACCTGCTTAATAAGTCTGGGTCCTCTCCATGTTACTTACGTAACTCAAGAAGACTGAGGGGACACTCATGTTCCCATGTTCACAGCCTCCTGGTCTTCCCCCGTACTTTTTCAGAGACCCCCAAAACTTTTGTAGGGGATCTTCTTGTATTTCTTTCCTCAGGACTAGGACTGTGGTAGAAAAGGCCAAAACTCTGTATTATTTTTCAGAAATTTAAATTTCTCACATCTCTTCTTGAGTTCTTTGCATTTTTTCTCTAGTTGGAGGGGTAATGAAGGAGGGGTGGTGTGTGTGAACCAGTTCTCTCTGTCCTCACTTCTGTAAATAGTGTCTACTCTATAAAAAGTAACCTTTATATTCAGTAATTTAGAGCCCAAGTTGTTCTCAGCTGCTCAACTGTTTTCCCTGCATTCAGTCCCCTTCCCTGACAGTGGGGGGAGGGTAAGCAGATAGACCTAGCTGGATAGGAATATCAAACCAGGTAAGTCACTTTTCTTTTTAATTAAAGAATCATTACAAAAGCAAATTGAAATTATCATCTAACATCTTTAACCTAGTAGGAAAAAAGTCCTTATTTAAACCCTGAATTCTTGACTTTCAGAAGATCCCAGAATCATTGAGTTCTTTTTACTTTAATTAAACTTTTAAATTTTCTTATATCATTGCTTGTTTTTGATTTCTCCCCTTAGCTGTAGGCCCTGTAAATTTCCCACCAGCATGTTACCTGTGAGCTGTCACCATCATCCCTTGTTCCCACTGTCAATGAGTTCTAATGACCAATCTCAATATCGAGTATCCCACTTGGTTAATATCTTTGATTTGCTGAGTGCTTCTAGAATTGATTTTAATGTCTGATTCTGAGCCTCCAGCCTGCTTTCTTACAGACAACTTAATTTATATATCTTCAGGTAAATTGAAGTCTAGTCTAGTCTAGTGGTTTTGAAGGAAAATAATAATTTCATGCTTGTTGACTCATCTTGGGCTAGTTCAGAGCTCTCCAAACTTCTACTAGTATGGATCCAATTCAAAGGAAAATTATACAGTGATCTTAAAGTTAACAAGATTTACAGAACAATGCCATAAATCTGCATGCCAGGATCTCCAAGTTCAAAGCCTCAGAGCTGTCCCATGGCCAAGGTATTGAATGTCCCTGTTCCTAGCTCAGAAGCCTCCTGCTCTCTTTAAAATACTCCATGACTCTTGCCCTCATTTAGCTACTATGAGTCTCAGTTTTCTATATGGAGTGGGTTTGAGGTCCCTGCTCTTGTGGAAGTTGTGAAGATTAACTAAAATAATGCTTATATATATTAAATTCCCAGATGCTGGATCCTCCCCACTACCCTCTGTTCTTTATAGAATCCTTCATTGTGACATAGAAGATTCTGAGAACAGTATTTTCTTTCCACAGTTGTTGGTAGGGTAGGAGGAGCTCTTACTTTGCCACTGAAGGAAACTATTTGTTTTTAGTATAACTGAATTCTTCGGGAAAGATCCTCAACAAGAAAAGGGACTAGTTGCCCCACTTGACAACTCAGGAACCATGAGGAAAGCTATGGTCTCTTACTCCTGGCAGGTCCTGAAGAAAGAAATGGTGAGGCATTCCCAAAGGTCCTGGGTGGGAAGAGTGGAAGACTGCACAAATATTTTGAAAAAGAGAGAGGCAGGTGAAGGAGGTGGCCACAGATGATCGTGGCCATCCTGTACCTTTTGGAGTTACATCGCAGCACACAAAAAACAGAGTTCCGGATTAGGCTTCAGAAAGATTGAACTCTACCTGTGCCCTGTAGCCTCCTAGCTCTTCTACACCTGGCAAATCACAGGCTACCCATGAAATCCCAAGTGCTACTCTGTATACAAGCCATTTCTGTTATTATAAGATATAGAAACAAGGCCTGGCCTCAGGAGAAAGGGACAGGTTCCCTATCTACTACTAGTCATGTGACTAATTTCAGTATTAGGCAACTAACTTCATTTGCTGTGCCTTTTTTCTTCTCTATGAAGGGTGATGCTAATCATTTCTAGAGAAATTATACAACTATATAATTATACAACTTTTAAAGATCTACTTATTTATGCATACAGAACTGGGGTACAAGCCAGAGGTGCCGGGGCAGTGAGAGGCCTCACCAGAGACAGAATGAGGAGCAGAACAGGCAGATCGATGAAGTACACTGCTGAGGGGAGCAGCAGGTGGGCTAGGAGAGGTCTGCCACGCCATGTAGATCACCTCCAGGGCAGGGACTGAACTTGTACTGAGGCAGCTGCAGCCAGCCTGCAGTGCTGTGTCCCAACCCACTGTACCACCAGGGAGGGCCCCGCAGCTGATCTTAAAGGTGAGGCTGGAAGTGTGCACTTCTGGGTTCTCAGCAGATTCTTGGTCCTGCTTAGATTTATTGTTGAGAATTAAATATGTTCATACATATAAAGAATTTAGAATAGCACCTAACAATAGCAAGGTTTATTCTGTAAGTCTTCAGTTTATTAATAGTCTTCTCCCATTTTTCCAGTTTTACCGCTTTCCTGAGGTTGATGTATTTAAATTTTTTTTTAAAGATTTATTTATTTATACATACAGAACTGGGGTACAGGCCAGAGGTGCAGGGGCGGTGAGAGGATTCACCAGAGACAGAGCAGGGAGCAGAACAGGCAGATCGATGAAGTACACTGCTGAGGGGAGCAGCGGGCGGGTCAGGAGAGGTCTGCCTCCCCATCTGGTCACCTCCGGGGCAGGCAGGGATCGAACTCATGCAGAAGTGGCTTTAGTTTCTTAGTGCAGTGCTTTAACCCGCTGCGCCACCAGGGAGGGCCCTATATTTAAATTTTTAATTACACATACTTGTCTGTATGAGAAACTGTAGCATATGACACATTTTAAAAATGTGTACCATAAATAACATCGTATTTCAGCATTTTTTCACTCTAAATTATGTGTGCACTTTTCTCACACTGCACATACATCTCCTATGCTGCAATCCTGTGACTATAGGGGATGTGTTGACATTCCCCAATTGATGGACACCTAAGTAGTTTTCAGCCTTTCACTATTACAAGTAGCTCCTGGTGCACAATTTGGCAACACTTGAAAAGTTGAGGATATTGTTTACCATCAAGGAATTATATGCACTATATGTATAGATGTTCGGAAAAATCATCATATTGCAGGAAGAGACAGCCAGACTGCACACTGCCACCACACTGGCACACTATAATACTAAGAAAATTAATTTTCTTAACTAAGAAAATCCTACAAATAAAAAAATTAACTAATTCCTTAATTCTATCTAATATCAGGTCATATATCATTTCCTTTTTTGTCCCTAAAATGCCTTTTACAGCTTGTCATGATGAATCACATGATTCATTTGATATCTTGATGACCTAACCAAGGTTATCGTTAGCATTTGTCTGTGTGTCTCATGATGTTTGTATGGCTCATGAATTAATCTAGAATAGCTCCACACCTTGTTTTTTTGTTTGTTTTTTTACCTTTTGAGATTTTTTTTTTAAAGAAAAAGCAGGTTTTGCTAGCGTATTCTTTCATTCTTACTTGTCTCTTTGATGCTGAACTTGCTTTCCTACCTCCTGTATTTACTTGTCAAGTAGAGTTTGGACAATCCTTTCAAATTTATATTGGGTATTCTCCATCTCAAATTGTTCTCAGTTCTAACTTCAAATTCCCAGGGAAAAGAAAGGATAATTCATCTTAGATTAGGTGGCACATTTTCTGTTGCTGCTATTACATAATAACATACCATAATATAGTACTAGTGAGTCAATATAAATTCATTACCCTGTAGTTCTTAGGCTAGAAATCTGGCATGGGTCTCCCTGGGATTAAAAATGAAGGTGTCGGGCCCTCCCTGGTGGCGCAGCGGGTTAAAGCACAGCACAAAGAAGTTTAAGCCGTTTCCGCATGAGTTCGATCCCCCGCCAGCCCTGGAGGAGTTCTACATGGCGGGGCAGACCTCTCCTGACCTGCTTGCTGCTCCCCTCAGCAGTGTACTTCATCGATCTGCCTGTTCTGAGCCCCACTCTGTCTCTGGTGAATCCTCTCACTCTCCGCATTTCTGGCCTGTACCCCAGTTCTGTACGAATAAATAAATAAAATCTTCAAAAAAAAAAAAATCAAGGTGTCAACAGGGCCACTTTCTTTTCTTAAGGGTCTAGTGGAGAATATTTTATTGCTTTTTCTAATTTCATGAGAATCCCTGCATTCTTTAACTCATTGCCCCTTCATCTGTCTTCAAGGCTAGCAATGTTGTGTGTCTCTGACCATTCCTCAGATCTAGCTGATTCTAAAATTCAGGCCTTTGCTTCACTCTTTGCCACTTAATACTGTGTTCTTTCTTCTTTGTATTGAGAAGAAGGGCAGCACACTTAGCTCATCATATACTGGTGTCTGTTTTAACAGCTGCCTCCTGGTGAGGGGTAGGGGTGGCCCCATTTATAGTAGTTGCCCATTTCTATGGCATAAATACTTCCATGGTGGCCAATTTCAAGTTACCAACATGATTTCAAAAGACCTGAAAACTCCCTGAACCTGTCACCATGGCTCCAGCATACTGCTGCCTCTAATCCTACTACATTTCACCTTGTTCAGCTTGTTTGCTATCCAACTTGCTATTGACTGTTGAAAACAGATGGTTTCCACTGATCATGTTTTGTTTCCACAGGGGTTATACCAGCTCACCCTGGATATCATTGTGATGATCCGAGTATGTAAAATGTTCCGCCAAGGCCTCAGGGGATTTCGTGAATATCAGATCATTGAGACTGTTCACCGGAAGCACCCTCTCTTCTCCATCTGGGATGTAAGCAGCTAGACTTAAAAGGATGATGAGGACTTAAAAGGTTTCAATAAATAGCACCCAACTTCTGAGCCCAAGCTCTGAACGAACTGAGAGAGAAGATGAAGGGCAAAGCAGATGGGAGACCAACTGTCACTTTCAGTAATGATGAACCATATTGGAGAATATCACTTATATTGTATCATTAAGCAAGAGGGTTACCTAATACTGAACCCCAGAGTTAGACAGTGATAGACCAACGCAATCTCCACTATGGTAACTGGACCTGTTGCCTAAAACTCACAGCAGAGAAGGACAGAGCAAAATCCGAGTTCAGTTGAAAGGAGAAGGGTACAATTATGCCAGTTTCTATTTCCAGATTCAGCAGAGAGCTTATCACTCTTTGTCAGTGTGGAAGGAGAGGGGATAGTTCTCTTCTGCTGGCACAACTCCTTCCACATGGAAAGAAACACTGAGGGTGGGAAGAAACCATCTCCATCCCAACAAAGAGCCAGAGCAATACAGGAATCACAGTAAAACTGAGGTTTTCTGGAAGCACGCTAACTCTTCATCTCCTCTACTTTCTTAACTGCCCCCCCCCCACTTAAACAAGAAAGGAACATTTGCACCTATTTATTATGGTGACTCTGCTTTCTAGATTTTCTAGAAGATCCCAATTCCAAATGATTTTTCCCAGTGGTAGGTCATGAAACCGTTTTTGGCTCAGAAAAGCTAATCACCATTCTGCTAATTTGTTCTGGCTTTCCAGTGGTGAATTCACAACTATCCAGGGCTCCAAAGTTTCAGCCAATGCTTAGACAAACCCTGCCCATTTTCCAATTGTGTCAAGGGTGATTAGGTCCAACTTCTACCTCCCTTCACCTGCGTATCCAGTGATTCACTCCAAGAAAATTCCTGAAATGATTTCTGAAGAATAGCCAAGGAGAGAAGGGGTATGGCTGATGATGGGGGGAAAGTAAGTGGTCTTAGATTCGTTTCTAATGTATAGTAGGCTGAATTTAAGCTGTAGCAGGGAGTGGGTGCCTGTGGATTTACTGGAGAGGAAGGACCTGTTCCATTTAAAGATTTTCCAATTTATATTTTTTTAAAGATTTATTTATTTATTCATATAGAGCTGGGGTACAGGCCAGAGATGCGAAGGGTGAGAGGATTCACCAGAGGCAGGGTGGGGCTCAGAACAGGCAGATCGACAAAGTACACTGCTGAGGGGAGCAGCAAGCGGGTCAGGAGAGGTCTGCCAGGCCATATGGATCTCCTCTGGGGCAGGCGGGGATCGAACTCATGCAGAAATGGCTTAAACTTCTTAGTGCAGTGCTTTAACCCTCTGCGCCACCAGGGAGGGCCCCCAATTAATATATTTTAAAGACATTATACTGGTCAAACAAAACAAGTCCACAGCCAGATTCTGCCCTGTAGTTGGATCATGAGCTGGGAAGGGATGAAGAAGTATACTCTAAAACTTAGTTTAGTTTTGAGGAAAACATTATGTCTCAAGATGTCATGTAATAATGAAGTGATGAGCCCTGAAGACCACGAGTCTTTGATTGCCAGAAGATGGAATGGCACCTGGGCAGTTGGAAAATGAAGATTAGAGTCAGATTTATCATCAGGGAAGAGCATGAGGCTAAACCTAGTGACATTGCTCAGGGTAGTTTTAAGCAGAGTAGAAGCCTTCAAGGGCAGTCTATGAGAGCCGTATGGCAGTTGGGCAGAGAGCTGGGGTTGTGGGGCAGAGAGACCATACGTTGGAGAGACCATTGACTGGCTTTCAGCAGAATATGGATCTTTCTGAGCACCCTCCCTTTTCTTCATTGGTCTCCCTGAGAAGCATCAAATGAGCACACACAAGCTATAAAATGAAGCAGAAGACAGATTTGAGTGGTCTCTGGCCGAGGATGTGAGGTGGTTTTAGAGAAGAGAATGTGAGCCTTGGCCAGGATGGTGGTTAGCCTTCTCTGTCCCTTTCCTGCCCCCATTCCCCTTACATGTCTGCTGACTCTGTCTTTGCCCCTTTCTCTACTCTTTTTTTTAAAGACTTATTTATTTATGCATACAGAACTGGTGTACAGGCCAGAGGTGTAGGGGCAGTGAGAGGCTTCACCAGAGACAGAGTGGGGAGAAGGATAGGTAGATTGTCAAAGTACACTGTTGAGGAGAGCAGCAAGCAAGACAGGAGAGGTCTTCTGTGCCATGTGGATCACCCCAGGGGTGGGGCAGGCGGGATCAAATTCACACTGAAGCAGCTGCAGCTAGCTTGCAGTGCTGTGTTCAAATCTGTTGCCCCACCAGGGAGGGCCCTATCAGATGCACAACTGTAAGAGCAATCTTGCTTATTCTCTTTTCTCTCCACCCCCTCCTTTTTTTTTTTTAGGAAAGGAAGCAGGGTCGAATCACATTTGATACTATGGAATTTGTTGCAGAGGAGGTAGGCATAACTCTGACCTTGCTATTGGGAATTTTCTTCCTTAATCTTGACTTAGAAGAAGCACTGGGCTGGACGTTAGAATGACTGGGCTCAGCATGGGTTCTGCCACCAACCTGACCTCAGTGATTCCTCCCAGTTTGATGTTTAAAACCATGAGCCCCTGAACCTATCATTGCTTTTTTGCTGAGCAGAACCAGTGCCAATGGGGGACAACTCCTACACTTGGACTCATGGTAAAATGGTAGGCAAATTAGAGGATGTGAGAGGCCAGAGATTGGAAATAATCAGGATATCAGGAAAAGCCCTCACCTGTGTTTGAATTCTGACCCTACCCCAAACTTTTCCAGAGATATTGGGCCTACCTAATCCCACATGGATGTCAGTTCTCTTAAGTCTGGGTAAGACTTTGGACTGTGTGACCTGTACAATGAATTTGAAGAATCATAAGTCATAACTTCTTTCTCTGGATGTTAAATTAAAACTTAAAATTATATTTAAATTTTAAAGGAGCCTAACTATTTATAGGGAAGATCTGAAGTTCTCACCAATGTAGCCCTGACTTGCTATGTTGTTTTATATCTCACAGAAAGTGAGAACAGAACTTAATGACTGGTATCAAAACCACCTCATGGCACCTCACCCTGACCCTTTCCTTCATCCCCTGCAACCAAGATATGGCTTCCTTTGCTTGCCTTTCCTAGGCATAATATAATTTCTCATGCCCCATCATTTAGAAGCACAACTAAATCACTCAGATTTTGGGTTTCAGTTTTCCAGACCAGCCAGTAGCTGAATTGGGCTCTGAAGTAACCTAAGATTTAAGCCAGAGAAACTTGGGCCTTTCAGAGAGCCACAGAACTCAGTAGAGGAAGATAATTCTGTGTGTGCCAGTAGAGGAAAAGCAGAAGGCATGAAAGAGAAATTCATCATAGAGACAAGGTCTATCAGCTTCTTGAACTTTGTCTCAGGCTCCAATATAGGGATGGAGCCTCTGTAGAGACCCAGTTTAAAAACATGCCCTCTAAAGCAAAAAAAAAAAAAAAAAGAAAGAAAAAGAAATGAAAGGTGTTCAGATTGGAAACAAATAAAACTGTCACTATATGCAAACAATATTATGATATTATATGCAAAAATCCTAAAGAATCCACAAAAAAACTATCAGAAACAATAAATGGAAGTTGCAGGCTACAAAATCAGTACATAAAAATCTGTTACCTTTTTTATATGAAAAATCAGAAAGAGAAATGATATAAACAGTACCATTCACAATCACAGCAGAAAGTATAAAGTACCTAGGAGTAGATTTAACCAAGGAAGTGAAGGGAAGTATACACTGAATACTACAAAACATTGTTAAGAAACTGAAGAAGACAAAATAGAAAGATATTCTGTGCTTATGATTGGAAAAAGAAATATTGCCAAAATGGCCATTCTACTTACAGCAATATTCAGATTTAGTGCAATCCCTCTGGATATCCCAATGGCATTCTTCACAGAAATAGAACCAAAAAAAATTCTAAAATTCGTATGGAACCACAAACACCTCAAATAACCAAAATAGTCCTGAAAATAAAAAAAGAATGAAAATGGAGGTATTATGTTCCCTGACTTCAAACTATATTACAAAGCAATCACAGCATTGCATGGAATCAATAGAATAGAGATTCCAGAAATAAAACCATACACATATGGGCAACTAATGAGAGAGGAGCTAAGAGCATCAGTGGAGAAAGGAAAGTCTCTTAAATGGTGTTGGGAAAATTGGACAGATACATGTTAAATAATGAGCCAGACCATTACCTTATACTATACACATACACTCAACATGGATTAATATAAGACCTTACACCATAAAATACATAGAAGAAAGCATAGGCAAAAAGGACTTTGAAAAAGAAAAAAAAAGAAGCTTATTGATCCTGATCTTAGTGATATCTTTGTGGATTTGTCTCCAATAGCAAGAGAAACAAAAGAGAATATATACAAATGGAACTACATCAAACTAAAACACTTATGTGTAGCAAAAGAAACTATCATTAAAATAAAAAGTCAGCCTACAGAATGGGAAAAGACATTTGCAAATTATATATCAGATGAGTTAATATCCAAAATAAATAAACAACTTGTTCAATTCAAGAACAAAAACATACAGGGGAATCTGGCAAGATGGGGCAGAGAGAAAATCCTGGGTTTGCCTCCTACAGAAGCTAACAAGAAACCTGATAAAATGTAAAGCCAAAAAATCCTGAGGAAAAAACCAAAGACCGTGGTACATAATAGAAGCATCAGTCTGGAGGAAAGGAATAGGGACAATTTTTTTTTTTTAAAGATTTATTTATTTATGCATACAGAGCTGGGGTACAGGCCAGAGGCTCGGGGCGGTGAGAGGCTTCACCAGAGACAGAGTGGGGAGCAGAACAGGCAGATCGACGAAGTACACTGCTGAGGGGAGCAGCGGGCGGGTCAGGAGAGGTCTGCCACGCCATGTGGTCACCTCCGGGGCAGGCGGGAATCGAACTCATGCGGAAGTGGCTTTAGCTTCTCAGTGTAGTGCTTTAACCCGCTGCGCCACCAGGGAGGGCCAGAATAGGGACAATTTTAAGTGGACTTTACTTGGAGTGATAATGGGGCAGTACAACCCACAAGAGGGAAGAACATCTAGGTGCCTTTGGGGCACCTAGAAATCTGGTACTGCCTAAGATATGGGAATACATGAACAGGCTTCCAAGATAGAGGGTACATTGCTAGAAAGCTGCAGAGGTGTAGGTACAGAGAGAGGACTGCTGGCAAGGAACAGCAGTAACCTAAATTGGGATATAACAAATTGATATAACTGTAGAAGAGACTTTTATTTTCTTTGCATAGAACTAGGGTATAGGCCAGAGATCTGGGGGGGAGGGGAGGGGTGAGAGGATTTGAGAGGATTTACCAGAGACAGAGTGGGGAGCAGAACAGGCAGATTTACTGAAATGCACAGCAAAAGAGAACAGTGGGTGAGGTAGGAGAGGTCTGCTGGGCCATATGTGGGTTAGCTCCTTGGCTGGGGGTGAACTCAGGCCATAGTGGTGATAGTGCCAAGACTCAACCCCTAGATTTCAAGGGAGGCCCAAGACCACTTCTTAAAGCCCAGGCTGAGATATATGAAATACTTGTGAGTTCCCACTCCAGGTTGAGATATCTAAGCTCCCTGCCAACCCCCACAAAGAATGCTATAGCTATAACTGAGGAGCTGGTCTGGAAGAGATGATCATTGTGGATCTCCGACACACAACTCTGGCACCCCCAGCACAACAGAGAGTTCAAATTCCTGAATCTACTGGAGAAGACCCTTTGGTGCCCACTGTCCCAGTCCTCTTCTATACCCACTGGCTCTTTTACGACCAGTACTCCAATTACTCCAACAAATACAAGACTTGAAAACCTTTTCCTATTAAAAACTCATAAAAAATTGAAAGCAGAACACATCACAAATACCAAAGCAAAAAATCTCTGGAGTGGAGCCCCAACTCATAATTGTGGAGCATGACAGAAGGCGAATTCAGGTCAGGAGGTCTGGCAATGCTGATGGAACTAAAAAAATACAATGAAGACTATAAAACAACAGAGTAAATAAGAAAAGTAGGAAGCAGGTCTAAGTAGAAATAACAAAGCTAAGAAATACTGTAACCAATTTTAATACAATTGAGGGCCTCAAAGCAGGCAAATAGAGGCAATAGAGAATTTTTATGGAGAACACAAGAGTAGAACAATGTAGAGTAAAATGAATTAAGTAAAAACAGTGTCAGCTCACTTGGACAATGTAAAGAGAGATAACATCCATATCATAGGGATCCATAAGGAGAAACAAAAGAGATAGGTATAGTAGACATAAATAATCACTGGGTACCTCTCTTGCCCACCTGTGACTACACAGGCGTTTCTTTTTACAAACCTTTTTCCTTTTGTAAAGCAGCAGCAGCAGCTCTTTCTGTCCAGTTGTATCTGTGCAACTGTCTTCTTTTCTTTCCTAATAAACCTGTCCTTTTAAAATGTAAAACAAAACAAATTAAAAAAAAAAAAGAACTGATGAGTGAAAACCATTTCAGTGTGGTAACTAGCTACTGGCTTCAACAAATATGTCAGCCCATACTCTTAAATAAATAAAAGTGAAATTATAATTAAGAGAAACAACAAAAAAGTCCAAATAGAACTTGATGTAGAACATGTATAAAAAATAAATAAAATAAAATCTCTTGAGATGATGCAACTATGTCCTGTGTAGGAAGCCCATTCTTCACAGACTACTTTTTTCCTTCATATATTTTTATTATTTAAAAATTAGTTCTGAAAGACAGCATAGTGTTTTGGGGAAAAGATTAAAAAATGATTAAAAATGGAAAGAGGATCTAAATAGACATTTCATCAAAGAAAATACACAGATGGCCCAAATACATATGAAGTGATGTCCTACATCACTTATTGGGAAATGCAAAAAAAAAAAAAAGCCACATTGTGATTTCATTTCATATGAGTTCAGATGACTTATCAAATGGTCAAGAGATAGTAAATGTTGGTGAAGATGTGGAGAAAAAGAAGACCTCATGCACTGTTGGTGGGAATGTAAATTGGTATAATCATTATGGAAAATGTTATGGAGGTTCCTCCAGAAATTAAAAATAGACTACCATATGATCTAGTAGTCTCCCTTCTGGGTATTTACCCAAAGAATATGAAAACACTAACTCAAGAAGACATAAGCATCTATGTTCATTTCAGCATTATTCACAATAGCTGACATATGGAAACAGTGCAGGTGTCCAACAACAGAGTTATGGATAAAGGAGATGTGGTATATACACAATGGAATACTATTCAAGTCATAAAAAAGTGAAATCTTAACCATTTTTGACAACATCGATGGACCTTGAGGGGATAATGTCAAGTGAAATGTTTGAAATGTCAGAAAAAGAAAGATAAATACTATATGATTGCACTCATTTATTGGCTATAAAGAAAACAAAAAAATAAAAACCTTTAAACTTTGCCAAAAGAATGGTGGTGACCTGAGGTGAAGGACAGGGAAGGGAATGGGTAGAAGTAGCCAGCTGATTGGTGGCCAATGGTAATGACATATGTTGGTGGGAGTGATGAGAAAAATGAATCTTAGAACCTCTACAATGTTGTAAACTCATGTTAACTTAATTGAATAAGAAAAAAACCTACCCCTTTAGTAACTATTACTAGATACCACCTTTCTTTCTGGAGTTCTAAAATTGGCTGTGGTGAAAATTGCATAATTATGTAAATACACTAAAAGTCAATGATTTGTTTACCTTAAGTGGTGAATCTTATGGTATGTGAGCTATATCTCAATCTAATACATACATGTGTACATACATAACCTGCCCCTTAGAAAAACACTTGAATTGTGGCTAAACCTCAGTATAACCCTTATTAGAGCTCTACTAGTACTAAAACTTTCCAACCCTTATCATTAAAGAGGCCTCTAATTATAGACTCATTTGTTGTATTGATGGTGAGTCATTGAAAAAAAATGGATACACTTAAAAACATAGTTTAAAAGTGAGTTTAAAAAAAGCAATTATCTGTAATCTGACATCTATGTACATAAAATGCTTTAAAGAAAATGACACAGTCTACAGAGTGCTGGGAAGGGACTAGCTCTTTTAGCTCAGATGGTGCAGTAGGCACTCTGAAGATGTGGCAGCCCTGGGGCTGAGAGCAGAATGAGGAGGAAGAGGCAGCCATATCCATGTGAAAATCCAAGAGTGGAACATTCCAGGCCAAGACTAGGCAAACACAGAAGTGAACTTGACACCTGCAAGAGATAGGTAGACGCTAGAAACTAGAGAATGAAGGGGGAAGACAGAAGTTGAGGTTGGGGTCTAGGAAGATAGAAGTCAGATCGTGTAGAGCCCAAAGACTGTGGTATGCAGCTAAGCTTTTATCCTAAACACAGCCAGTGTGTATGTGAGATGTACACAAATATCCTCTCCCATCTGGCAAGAGTGGCATGGTGGGTAAATAAGTAGGTCTGCCACTGGTGCGTGAGTCTTTTCTACCAAGGTTAGCTCATAGCCTCTGTAGGTTCTCTGTTCATTAGTCTCTTGTGGCATACTGAGGTTTGACTTAAGAGAGGTCTACCTTCTCACAGTGAATACTGTCCTGAGGAGCCCAGAGCCCAGGGAGCCCCAAATTGCCTAATGGGATGGTGGTCAATGAATGGTAGTGGCAGTATGGTCAGTAGTTGGGCTTACAGGTCTTGACAGGTAGCAGGTCTAGGTTATAATCCCGTTTGAGTGACTTTATCAAGTTGAAATGAAAATTGTGCCTCATTCCTCTTGGGTGGGGTAAAGATGTGAGAAGGTGTGTATCCCAGTTTCTGGCCCATAGTAAGCCCTCATTTCATGCCAGAAAGCATAAAAGCATGAGTATGTGGGGAGTTGTCCCACAGTTCCTTGGGGAAGACTACTATGTCTTGTGGGTATTATTCTGGTCTTTTCTCCACAGGGTCACTTGCCTCCAAGGGCAATTCAGATTGCACTGAAGAAGCCTTCCTGGAGGACAGAGCAGGAGATCCAGTCCCTCTGCAACCTCATGCAGGTTCTGGACAGCTTCCGAAACTATTCAGAGTCCCTGCAGATGCTCCTGGCTAAAGTCATGCGCTTTGAACGGTCAGTGGGGCGTGGCTTTTGGACAAGTGGAGATGTAAACAAGAACATTCCCAGCAGAGGGAACTCTCTGCTTTATTCTATGCCAATGAAAGACCCAGTCCCTACTGTCTTAAAGATTCTATGGCAGGCTGAATGCTATCATGGAATCACAGAGCTAGATGCTTGAATTTAATGCCCTGTCTACCCCAGTATATTGATGTGAATTCAAGACAAGTCATTCAGCTTCCTTGCCAGTGAAATAAGACTGATAGTATGGATTTTACAGGGTTTTTATGAAAATCAGAGAGATTATTAAAGATAACTGCTAGTTGTTGATTATTTCCAGGATTGGGACTAGCATATTAGGCAGGATTTTTCCAATTGATAATGAAAGAAGATGCAGCCCAGGGGAATGTGTGGCTCATGTACCTAAAAATCCTGGGTTGGTTCTCAGCTTCAGGCTTAATAGGATTGAGGGTTTCATTGTAACTAAGACACAGTGTCTGTCTGTCTGTCTCTTGGCACTTCATTTGTAGAGCTTCCTTCTAAACAAGACTCTCCTCTCATGTGATGAGATGGTTGCCATAGCTCCAAACTTTCATCTTTCCAGTTTCAGTCCATTGAGAAAGAGACGACCATTTCTCAGTCCTTCAAGTCAGAGCCGTGGAAGTAGTTCTTTCAGAACCAGATTGACTTTACTTGATCATCACTGAGTCAGTGGCATGCTGATTGTCTAAGAGTCAAGAAAGGATGTTTTCTCAAAGCAAAATCAGGGTGGGTTGGAAAAAGGTGACCAGATACTTGGCAGCAAAAACAATAGACGTCTGCTATAGGAGTTTCAGGCCAAGTGCTGCCTCAGGTTAGTCACCTCAGGTCCCTAGGCCCCACCCTCAAAAAGGTGGATTGAACTAGTGGGTCTCTCTTGGTCCAGCTCTAGGAGGCTACACTTGAAGGAACACTGGCCTGGATCCCTAATCCCCCAAATCTCACTTAGGTCTTTTATTATGACATGGCAAGTTTGATTTGATTTAAAATGTTTTTTTCTTCCTAGGAAGTTCAACTGTGAACACATCAGTAATGAATCAGTATTGCCTCTGCCCCACACAAAAAAATATTAATACCCTTTCAGCAAAATCTGCTTTGCAACTTTTGTAGAACTTAAAGTCAGGTCTCTTAATCACTTCGCTACACTCCTGTTTTCCGCATCTGTCATTCATGTACTCACTGAATTCATTGAGCATTTACTATGGGCCTAAGCAAACTGACACACTCTGTTCCCAGGATGTTTCAGTCTAATGGTTGCAGGCACCTGGGTGAGTGTTAATGAAGAGGTCAAGCTCAGTAGGGCTGGGCTGTTCTGAGGCCCCTTCTAGTCCCAGTCTATTCTTTCACCATCCAGAGCAAAGAGCACGACTAGTCAATATCTCTACCAAGTGTGGATACAGCTCCACGTAGCTGCCAAGTCAACTGACTCGTCTTTTCCTAGGTTTGGTCGCAGGCGTGTGGTAGTCAAGAAGGGGCAGAGGGGCAGCAGCTTTTATTTTATCTACCTGGGCACAGTTGCAGTGACTGAGGATGAGGATGGCAGCAGTGCCTTCTTGGACCCTCACCCGACATTGCTACACAAGGGCAACAGTTTTGGGGTAAGTGTGGAAAAAGGCCTAGTTTCCTTGTGTGGGATGGGGGCTATGACAAGACTGTTGTTAAACCCTCTTAGCCAGGCCCTATCTTACCTTATACTTGGTGGAAGATCCTGCCCTGTTGTGGGTCCTACAGAATGCTATGGGGCATACTTACAGAATGCTAAGGGAGCCAGGTGATAGCCATGGTGACCTCTTTGCAATGTTTAAGAAATATATTTACCATATAGTTCCTTAGAGATACAACGATGACCTCACCAAGTCATTCCAACTTCTTTTCTGGTGGCCTTGTTGCTGTCTTCTCCACAAGCTTGCACATCAAGCGGGCGCAGAATAGGCCGACAGAGTAGGGAGGAGGGCAGCAGAATGTGGGGCAAGCCAGGGAACCTAGCACCTGTGGAGGAAAGATTTCTGGGGGAGATGGGAGCAGGAAAGAGGTGTACAATCTGCCAGCAGGAAACTGGAGATGGCCTCTTATTTGCCTTCACCCCTATTTCCATCCCACAGGAAAAGGGCCTTCTGAGTAATTCAGTAAGAAGGGCCACTGTGGTCTGTATGGAAGAAACAGAGTTTTTGGTCATTGACAGAGAGGATTTCCTTGCTAATAACATGGACCAGGAAGTTGAAAAGGATGCTCAGCAACGGTTTGACTTTTTTAGGTAACTCCATCATCAGTGTTTATTAGGTGGGAAACAGTAAATGCTTGTTCTTTCTCTCTGCCTAGAATGTTCTTCCATATCCACCTCCCACCCAACTTCTCTGTCTAGCAAACTCATACTATGCCTTCTGATGTCAGCTCAAAATCTCTTCCTTGTGGGATCATAAGAATAAGATCTGCTGGCATATACTGAGCACTGGCTGGACCCAGCTGAGAACTAAGCCAGTTGTACCCGCTGTCGTATCGAGTCTTTCAAGCAGACCCATGATGCCATTTCTCTTCTCTTCCCCAGGGTGTAAATCAGGGAACCAGGTGTAGGATGCTGATGTACTAGAAAGCCTGATTCAGACATCCCTGGTTTTCACTGCCTACCTTACTAACCAAGCCCACCTTCCCTCATTTCAGAGGAGGGTGCCCCCTTGATGTTTCTGTTGTGTTTCCTTAAAAGCTCACCCAAATGTAATCCTTGATTCCATAATACTTCACTTATACTACATTTTCCCCATCAGACAATAAGTGATGTATGGCAAGGCCAGAACTGCCTTTTTCCCCTTGTCATCCCCATGTTGGCAGGCACATACGGGTGCTCTTTAATTATCTTTAGTTAACTCACTGTTAGAGAAAAGAGTGACATTCAAATGAAGTGTCTGCCCTGGAACTGAAAACACAGGCTGAGGGTTGCATGGTTTTAGAGATGTGATGGACCCTGTTGTCTGGAGGACTAGAGTTGAGAGAATTTCAGGGATGGAGCCTGAAAAAGGAGGAAACTAGTCATGAAGGGAGACATTTTATTTTTTCATACATTGTTAAGATAGGACTGGGTTTCAATCTCAGCTCTTGGGCTTCTGAGCTATTGAGCCCAAGTACAATACTTCACTTCTCTGAGCTTCAGGTTCCTGCTTTGTAAAATGCAGATCACGTCTCCCAAATCATTGTTAGGATCAATGAGGCCATCATGGAATGTGTGTGGTCCAGTGGTAGACACATAGTAGGTACTCCTGTGGTCCCATTTTCCTCCCTGTGTCTGTAGCTCTTCTCTGAAGGTGGCACTGACCCTGCTTCCCTTTTGGCCTAAGTCACCTGAGTTCTGAGTATACAGTTTAGGGAGCTGAGAAAGTCTGAGATGATTGCTAGACCTCTTGGATATGAGTGAAGGCAAGCCAAGGGTGTATGAGGTCAGGGGTATGGGGTGGACCTTTGGTCACAGGGAATGAACAGGCAAAGGAGGAGAGTCCAGGTGTCCTCCACTTCTCAGACCCAGGGCTAAGTGATTGGAATGAACTACCCATACTAAAAGCAGGCCATGCCAGGCCTTGAGAATAGGGCAGAGGAGGAAAGGTGATGGTCAGAGAGTGGCTCTCGGCTAGTTAATAGGAGGGGGTGTGCTTCAATCTGCTTCAAAAATTTCAAGAGAAAGAGAACATGTTTTCTTTTTGGAAGTTGCTGAGATCTGGGCACCTTCTTTGATGGAAGGCAATGAATTCTGACAGACTTTTCCTGCAGGGGATTGGATCTGTTTGAGTCATGGTCGGACCAAAAGCTCTGGAAGCTTGTGGGCCTGGGGAAGGTAGAGAAGTTCTCATATGGGCAGGTGATCACAAAAGACTTTGTAGAATCATCCTCCGTCATCTTCATTTGCAAGGTAAGAGGGCTGGGGTGGGGGTGGCAAAACTGGGGGCAGCCCTGTTTTGCAACACCTTTCTGAGCGTGCATGCCCCACTTAGAAAAGACAAACAACATGCTTTGACTTGCCTCTCTCAGAGGGTTGTTGTGAACTTTAAGGTAAATAGTTATTATTTTAGAAAGAGGGCTAGTAGATCTCCCCCTCTTGAGATCATATGTGTTTCCTTATATACAAGTACATATTTAAATTATGCAGTTGGTTCTTAAATCTTAATGATACCAAAGAACTTTTAAAAATTATAATCTCTAAATTGTAAGAGTAATGTAACCACTTCATTAAACATTCTGGAAAGAAAGAAAAAACTCATCGGTTTGTTTTCACCTGAGTTGATTTTTCAAGAGTGGAATTGCTTGGTATTCATTATTTATGGCTCTTAGAACAAATTGCTTTCAAAAAGGCGGAATCTACTTTTTCTAGTTTCCAGAAATGCACCATTTTCTAGTGCTACTGCACCTTTGCCAGTCTGTCATTCTTCCAGAAGATTTTCTAATTTAATAGGTAGCCGTTGCTACCTTATTGAGGACTTATTTAATATATACTATTTCTGACCAATTGTGAGATCAGTTATGTTTATTTGCTAAATTTTGTCACCTGAAAATTGTCTTATAGCCTTTGTCAACTTCTCTGTTGCTTGATCATGATGGAAAAAAAAAAAACCTCACATTTATAGTAAAGTTATTGTTTATCATGTTCTTTGCTCCACATGTACCATTTCATTTCAGCCTCATTGCAGCCAAAAAAAAAAAAATTAGTATTATCATTTTACAGAGGTAGAAACCAAGGCACAGGAAAGTTAAGGGGCTTGGCCAGTTGAGGAGCAGAGGTGGGATTCAACTCAGGTTGAATCCCTTGACTCCAAAGTCCTTCTGGGATTTGGGATTTGAGTTGACCTTTCTATCAGCTATTGACTCTGCTCTCCCTTGCCCCCCTCATCCTCATCGAGTTTTTTTTTTAATGACTCTGTTTCTGGCCACACACGTTTTATTAGCATTATTTTTAAAATTTTGGACATGTAACATTCAAAATTCAAAGGCTTTAAGAGTAATGTCTCCCCATGGAAACAGCCCAAATGCCCAAAAATGAATGACTGGATTAAAAAGATGTGGTATATATACACAATGGAATATTACTCAGCAACCAAGAAAAAGAAACACGTCTTTTGCAGCAACATGGATAGAACTGGAAAAGATCATGCTTAGTGAGATAAGCCAGAAAGAAAAGGAAAAATATCACATGGTTTCTCTCAAACAGGAATATAATGGAACAGATGAGAAAATAGTGATAACGATGAACAGCTATATACCAGAGACAGTTTGTGGGGGTAGAGTGGGGAATGGGATCAAAAACAGTAGGGGGAGGGAAATGCACTGGACTATGGTGATGGCACATGGGTGATTTGGTGATAGGAAACCCAAGGGGATTACAACTGAGATAGAAAAATGCACAAAAATGTGTAAAAATAAACTACTATAAAATTAAAAAAAAAAGAGTTCATTCAATCTTAAAAAAAAAAAAGAGTATGATGTCTCCCTCTCACCTCTTTCCCATGCCACCCAGTGTTCCTGCCTCGAAGAACAGTTCCTGTCACTACTCTCTTATGTGTCTGTCCTGCACATAGTCTTTGCATCTATTAAACAAAAGCATGAATGTATGTTTTCCCCCCCTCTGTATCAGTGGTGGCATACTACAGACACTCTATTGTACTTTGCTTTTTCATTTAAGAATATTCCTGTAGATCATTCCCCATCAATATGCAAAGACCTCAGTCATTATTACCACCTCTATAGTATTTCGCTGCATAATATGCTTAAATTAGAGAAGTTTCCTATTGATATATACTTAGCTAGCCTGAATTTGCTACTTTGAAGTGCTTTGGTGAATAACTTGTACATAATATCATTTCACTGTAAATCTTCCTCATCTGCTAAGAAGGGGCTGTCCCAACTCTTGTAGTTTATGCATGTTGCCACTAGAAGGCAAAATCACCAGCAGGTGACCAAGCATTCTCTGGACCTAAGAAAGCTGGAGAATATAATTAATTTCCTGCAGTCATCACAAACATAGTTATTGCCCTTAATCAACTCACTTTGAATAGTTTATCATTTGGAGACATATGACATTGTTTGTGCTACAGATAGACATGTGATTAAAGACTCACCACAGGCCTTTCAAGAGGAAACTGTTCACATGTGTTTCTCTAGTACCTGCAGTTTCTGGTTGACAAATATTTGTTGAATGAATATTGAATAAAGTTCCAAGCACAAGTCCTGGCATTTAATAAGGGATTATTAAATGTTTGGTCCATTCTCCCCCTTCCTATATAACAGTAATCTGTCTTGAACTGACAGAACATTTATAACATGTCTTAGGTTTCCTAAAAGAAGAGTTAGATTTTGTAAGGAAATCAAATAAAAATAAAAATATCATATTTTTCTCACTACAGATTAAGAAAGATTAAAAGTATTGTGAAAACCAGTTGTCAATGTAATACAAGAATATATTTCTAAGGGGAGTTTGACAATGTATATCAAAATTTAAAACATCCTATCTTTAGGAATTAGTCTTAAACAGATAGTCAAACATGGGGATTATATTAGGATGCTCTAGATTATGCTGTGATTATAAACAACCTGTTTATATGCACCTTATAAGCATCATGCAAACCAAAGAAGACATTTCTAGCACTCAAGGCTCCCTTGTACCTTTTGTCAGACAGAATTCCACCTTGAAAGTAGCCTTTCTTCTGATTCTGTTACCAAAAAATTTTCCTGTTCTTGAACTTTATGTAAATAGAGTCATACAGTAATGCATTTGTGCTTTTGTATCTGACTTGCTCAACCAAAATTTGTTATTTTTAATTTTATGTAAATCATGACACACATAGAATAATGGCTAATCACTAAAGGACAATAATGTAGAATCAAGATGTCCTTGTTCATTGAGTTTTTAAAATGTTTGAGTCTGCTTTACATAAAACATTTAAGGAAAATTATATATATACATCTTCTATGTTTATAGAGAAAAGTTTGACATAACATCACCTAAAACTTCCTTCTTATGTTATTTATTATTTCATTTCCATATAAAACCTACTTGTTATTTCCTGCCATTAGGATTAACATAATTTAAAAAAATAATATAATAGTTTATTTTTACATCATTTTGTACCTTTTCCATGTCAGTTGTAATCCCCATGGGCTTCCCATCACCAAATCACCGTGTGCCATCACCATAGTCTAGTGCACTTCCCTCCCCCACCCATTTCCCATTCCACCCCTATAAAATGTCTCTGGTATATAGTTGCTCATTATTATTTTTTTTTCCTCCTGGTCCTTTAACTCCTGCTATGAGGGTTTCAATAATTTTTTAAACTTACTTGTGAAATTTTTTTGTTTCATTTTATGGAAATTTATAGAAAACTTTCAAAAACAGTACAAAGAACTCATGAATATCTTTAACCAGATTCATCAGTTGTTAATATTGTTACATTTTTTCTTTATATATACATTTCTTCTTTATATATATGTGTGTGTGTTTATATATTCTGCTTGAATCATTTCTGAGTTGTTTCATTTATCTTACTCATTTACACCTATACACATGATTATTTTCTAAGATCAGACATTAACCTCAGAATAATAATCAAAATCTGAAAATTTAGCATTGAAATATTATATGCTCTACAGTCGATAATTAGTTTCACTAATTGTGCCAAGAACACCATCAAAGGTGATTGTTTTCCCATTATATTTAGTTCTTATGCCTCTTCAGCTATTTGAATTTATGATGAATAGACTATATTTTCACTTAAAAAAAGGAAAAAAAGAACCTGTAATGTAGTCATACTTGCATTAAACAAGTAAAAAACATTGGTAATGAAGAATTCCAAGAGTGTGTCTTCAAAGCCTGGCCTTCTTGGGACCTTAAGCCTTCTTTTTGTGTCCCTTGATGTCTCTAGGGCACCTGTGAAGTCCTGAGGCTGATAGACCTGTCAGCTTCCTCTTGCTACTGCAAATGGATCTGGCAGCATCTGCAGCTGGTAGATGACAACCCTCTGAAGAGCCACCATACTGGTAAGCCATCCACATCTGGTACAATAGAGGAGCCTGGTCTCATTCTATTACCCATCCCCAGCCCATAGAATCTTAGAAATCTAGAGGTAGAAAGTCCTGCAGGATGTCTGGTTTGACCCCTTCTTCTACAAGTCCTTCTTTTAACTGTCCTACCCTGCCAGGGTAGGCACTTGCCTGCCTTTGCTGCTTCAGTCATTGGTGGTCATCTACTTCTTGCCTCAGACTTTCACACAGGCTTGCTCCCAAACTTGTGTCTTTTTTTGTTTGTTTTGTCCATTTCTCTTCCTTATTTAGATCATAGACTAAACATCTCTTCTTCCTTCAGAGAGGATGAACTTTCTCAGGCTGGATCTTCCATTTCCCATAATATCCCATTGAAGGTCCCTTCTGTGGGAACTCTTTTGTGATCTTTAACCCCATTGAAATCATAACCAAGGTCTTGGAGTTATGTTCTGATAAAGCTATTGTGGTTGAAAATGCATTGAATATACCTAGCTTACTTATCCTAACCTATCTTAAGTGTATTCAGAACACTGATAATAGCCTGTGGTTGGACAAAATCATCTAACACAAGCCTCTCTTATAAAAAAGTGGTTAATAGCTCGTGTAATTTATTGAAACTGTAGTAAAAGTTAAAAACGATCTGAAGTGTCAGTTTACCCTCGTGATGGCATAGCTGACTGGGAGTTGCATTTGTTGTTTTGTCATTGTGATAAGAGAGTACCCATACATTCACAGCACTTGCCCAGAATTTAAAGCTCAGATTCTATGAATATGTGTCACTACCATAGTAAAGTCAAAAAACCATAAGTTGAAGTCAGGGAACGCCTATAATTGAATGTGAAATGGTGGTTGAGTATCTGCCTCCCTTCCTAGAATGTAAACTCTTTATAAGAGTTTTGTATTCTTGGGACTAGTGCCACACTTGGGATCTAGCAAAGATTCAGAAGCTTATCAGAGAGCAAATGGATAAACAGCTCTGAGCAGCTGTGAGCGTTAGGGACACTCCCAGACTGTGAAATGTGTGAATCTCCTCTCCAGGGCCTTATTCAAAGTCATAAAGCAAGTAATAAGTATGAATAATAGTTACTGTTGATGGGATTCTGGTTATGCTGTGTTGATTGTGGCTGTTTATATTCATAATCCTCAGAACAGCTCTTCAAGCAGGTATGATTGAATCTCCAATTTTCAGATGAGGAGACTGAGGTTCAGAGAGTGAGTCACTTGACTAAGGGACAGGGATAATAAATAGCAGTGGAGGACTTCAGAGTTGGGGTTCTAACCCAAGTACAACTCTCTTCATAAATGTCTCCAAACCTTCTTCACTCTTCATTTCCTGTGGTTGGACACAGGCATCAGCTATCTGGTCTCTGAACTGGCCAGCATGACAACCAGGCTTTCTCATTCCAGGACAGTCATTTATTATTATTATTATAGTTTATTTTTACATCATTTTGTGCCTTTTCCCATCTCAGTTGTAATCCCCATGGACTTCCCATCACCAGTTCACCCGTGTGCCATCACTATAGTCCTGTGCACTCCCTTCTCCCTCATTTTTGATCCCAATCCCCACTCCATCCCTGTAAAATGTCTCTGGTATATAGTTGTTCATTATTATTATTATTTTTCCTCCTGGAGGACAGTCATTTTTTCTAATCACAATTATTGTGGCATTTTTCCTTTCTCTTTCTCTTCTACCTCCCAGAGACTTTTTGGTCTGGTCTACTTGGGTCAAGAACCCAAACTCTTCACTCATAGCAGGAACGTAAGGGATCAGAGAAAAAACAAACAAACAAACAAAAAAAAAACCGCAATTGTAATAAAGTAAAAATGAAAAATAATGAACAACTATAAACCAGAATTTATAAACTATAAATTCTATGGGGGTGGGGAGGGGGGGGGAATAGGATCAAAACTTGGGCGGGAAGAGCACATAGGACTATGGTGATGGCACATGGGTGAATTGGTGGTGGGACGTCCATGAGGAATACAACCGAGATGAAAAATATACAAAATGAAGAATGATGTAAATAAAATAAATAAATACATATTTTAAAAAAAGAACCTAAACCATTGACAGACATTCACAATGACCCAGGCATCTCATGTTTTACCTAGTACTGAATACTGACCCCTTTGAGATTATTAGCTGTGCATTAATCTAGGCTTTTTCTCCACAAGGATTGTTTTACTAATGGAACAGCCCTCCCGAAATTGGAGTTGAGCATCCCACACAGGAAGGCAGAAGAGAGGAATGGAAAAAGGAGAGCTTAGAGCTAAACAGAGCTGGATTTGAATCCCACTTATTTTGGGGTGACTTTGGTCACTATATAAGGTGTCCAAATCTGGTTTCTTTGTTTCTGTCCTGGTGATGTTGAGCATCGTCTGAGGAGCCAAATTCCCCTTGGTGCTTCTTTTACTACTTCGTGATTTAATGTCCCTGTGATCAGTGCCTTCAGACTACAAAAACCGAATCATGATGTCCACTTCACATTTAAATTTCCACAAGATTGTTCTGGGATACAGTGAAGTTACTTGGAAGTATTTTGACCTCTTGAAACCTAGCATTTAAAGTTTTGTTAGGGAGGATCAAAACAGTGTTTAAACTAGAGTTAAAATTTTTTCCCCAGGCCTTCCCTGGTGGCACAACAAGTTGGGATGCAGTACTGCAGGCTGGCTGCAGCTGCTTCAGTGCGAGTTTGATCCCAGGCCATGGAGGTGACCCACATGGCGTAGCAGACCTCTCTTGACCCGCCTGCTGCACCCCTCAGCAGTGTACTTCTTTGATTTGCCTGTTCGGCTTCCTGCTCTTTCTCTTCTGATGCCTCTTACCACCCCTGCACCTATGGCTTGTACCCCAGTTCTGTATGCATAAATAAATAAATCTAAAAAAAATTATTAAAAAAAAATCCCCATTCATGAGGCAAGACCTTTTTGAGTTTTCTGTAGTCAGTGATGCCTGTAATTTGTGCAGGTTTTTTTTTTTTTTAAGATTTATTTATTTGTACAGAACTGGGGTACAGGCCAGAGATGCAGAGGGTGAGAGGATTCACCAGACACAGAGTGGGGCACAAAACAGGCAGATCGATGCAGTACACTGCTGAGGGGAGCAGCGGGCGGGTCAGGAAAGGTCTGCCTTGCCATGTGGATCTCCTCTAGGGCAGGTGGGGATCGAACTCATGCAGAAGTGGCTTAAGCTTCTTTGTGCTGTGCTTTAACCCATTGCGCCACCAGGGAGGGCCGTGCAGGTTTTTATTCTATTGGAACAGAAACTGTTGCTGGCCCTGCATGAGCTCTGATCAATTTAGATGGTTCTTTCCTCAGCCATAGGTAGTATGTTAATGTCTGTTAATATGTAATAAGTTACCTTAAAGCTTGGTAACTTAAAACAATGAACACTTTTTTTTAAAGATTTATTTATTTATGCATACAAGAACTGGGATATAGGCCAGAGATGCTGGGAGGTGAGAGGATTCACTAGAGACAGAGTGGAGCAGAACAGGCAGATCTACTGAAGTACACTGCTGAGGGAGCAGCGGGCAGATCAAGAGAGGTCTGCCACACCATGTGGGTCACCTCCCTGGCCTGAGGATTGAACATGTGCTGCAGTGGCAGCGGATCACTTCATAATGCTGTGCTTTAACCTGTTTGCCACCAGTAAGAGCCCACAATAAACACTTTTATCTCTCAGTTTATATGGGTCAGAAATTTGCCGATGACTTAACTGGGTGCCTCTAGCTCAAGTTCTCCTGAGGTCATAGCTATCTGCCAGCTTGTAGTCTCATCTGAAAGCTTAGCCAGAAGGAACAACTTCCAAGCTCGCTGGCATTGCCATTTGCAAGCTTCAGTCCTGTCATCATCGTTGTCTCTATAGGTCCCATTCACTCATGGCAGCTTTCCTTCATGAGAGGGAGAGAGAACACAGAGTGTGCCCAAAATGGAAGTCACTCTCTTTCTAACCTAATCTCAGAAGTGATACCTCATCATTTCTGCTACATTCTATTTGCTGGAGTCCAGTTCAACTTAATGAGAAGATTTTACATAAGGGGAGGATTTTACACCAGGACCTAGAGCACACTGGGACCATCTTAAAGGCTGCCCATTACTGATATTCATAACACAAATGCTGCTCATATTCAGTTGCGACTGCAAAGACTCTTGGAAGACCTTCAGAGTTCTCTTTTTTGCAGCTCTCTCCTCCCTAGTGTTGTGCTTTGTAAATTCTAGCTGCTTTTCCTCCTCAGACTCTCAATTCCTTCCTATTAATTTAGAGAAATTGCTGTATTTCTACCTGGATTTCCCCTCCCAGCACCATGGCCCAGAAAATGTCCAGGCAGTGAACTGGGGCAATGGAAGTGCTCAATTCATTTGTTTTCTATCTTGCAGGAATGATTGTTCTTTGTGGTCTGATGCCCAATGGCTTGAAAACCACTTTCTTCATATATTCCAGTGTTTCAGTAGTTTCAGGTAGGATAGTAAATCTAGTTTCTGTTACTCCATTTGACTCGAAGCAGAAGTTCAGATATATGCTTCCTTTTTACTTCTGGACTTTTAAAATTTATTTTAATTAAAATTTTTTCTTGTCTTTGGATCTATATTTCATAAAAGCTGAGTTTTATTTGTTGTGGATCCAAGTAGTAACAGCCCTTTCCTGTGTGACTTAAACTCTCTTCTGTTCATTTTATCTCTTAAATGAGGCCAGTGATACTTGTTGCTATGTAATGGGATAAAGTCTAAAGATTAGGACCTGGCAATACATGGAAGTCATAGTGGTTTTGTTTTCTTTTCTCTTTTTTCCATTCTTTTAAAATTACTAGACTAGCCAGGTAGGTGACTGTGATATGCCGCCTAACACCACCATACCCTAACCTTACATGTGCAAAGACCCAGTAATGCGTTTTCCTGTGCTTTCTCTAACAGAACCTTCTTCTAAAGAAAGATTCAAGAACTTCAAGATCAAATCCTATCCTCAGCAGGACTTTAGCTCTCTGAAACTTCTGCATCTCCAGAAATCCTGGGAGAAAGAAGGGACATGTTACAATATGGATGATAAAGCCACAGGAAATAATCTCCCAAGAGCCTTGGGCTCAAAGATCAAGTAAGCTAAGCTCATGACAGATAGAAGGGTCCAGATTCCGATTGAAAAGGAGAGCATAATTTGTAGAGCAGTATGTCACAGAGTCAGGGAAGGGGCAGAGAGGACAGATGTAGGCAACTCCAAAGGCTGGGGTGTTTGTAAAAGGCAGGCCTGAAGAGGGTTCTGCTTTCTTTGTAGCCCAAAGGGCCATGCAGGTGGACAGCTGCTTCCATTTGAGGAAGAGAGATCTTCTAACTCTGATGCTCTGTTTGTGTGTCACTGAGCCTTTTTGACTCTGAATTCCTTCAGAAAATTCTACCCATTTAAGTGTAGTAGTAGGTAACACCCTGGATTTTGAGTCCTTTCAATGCAGTTTTAAATCTTGGCTTCACTGCTTATTTTAGCTCTGCTTCTATAGACAAGGGATTTAGCCTTTCTAAGCTTTAGTTTCCTTGTCTATGAATAGTAGTGCCTAAATCTTGGGGTGACTGTGAGCCTGCAATTAAGTGAAATGTTAACTTTGTAGTTAACATTTATGGAATGCTACCTCTGTGTTTGATGCTGGATTATCTAATTTAATCTTTACAATAGCTTCATGAACTAAGTACAGCTATTATCACTCCTGTTTTTCAGGGGAGAAAACCAAGTTACAGAGAGAGATTATAGTGTTCAGGGTCACGCAGTAAAGAAGTGGCAGAACCAGGGTTCAAATTCAAGCAGCTTGCTAGCACTCAGTTTTATCTGATACCACAGTCATGACAGGAAGGAGGTGGGGGCATCACTAGGGCTGCACTTATGCCTTTACCAGAGAGGCTGAGGGGCAGGAAAGAACACTGAATTGGCACCAGCTGGCAACATGACACACCACTTCTCTCCATTAAATATAAAGTTAAAATATCACAGTGATACAAATTATAACCTCAGAGCCACAATCTCCATGTTGCCCATCTGCTACTTCACTGGAATCCTTTGCCCATTAACATTTCCAGGTCTCCATAATGAGCATCTCTTGACTTCTGAGCTGTTTTTGCCCCTGATGAATATTCCCAATTTAAGTTCTTTTGAAAATGAAACAACCCTATTTTTCTGCTGTAAATCAGTAAAGGATGAGGGACAGGTTGAACCCAGAAGTGAAAACAAAAGCCATGCAGGGGGTGTGCACCAGATCACATCTTACAGGATGATAATGGAAACCTCTCTCACTTATGTGTTAGGTGAGTCCAGTTCTATTCTCAGCTGATACATCATCTTTTCCCTGCCTCTCATCCTAATAGCTTAGTTTATCCTTTGTCCTAGACCAAAAAAAGCACAACAGGGTTGCTTGTGTAAAATCAACTCTGCCACAAAGTACGTAGTCCACAGGGGAAACTTGCCTCTTTAAACAAACAAATAAATCTGTCTCTTTTCTGTCTTCCTATCAAGAAAAAAGTCCCTGCTTCTGTTCTGTCCAGAAGGACAGAGCTCACTCTGTCAAAACTGTCTGTTCCATTTGGACAGCTCTACTGTTAGAAATTCCTTCTCACACAGAAATCCTGGCTTACCTGAGGTAGACCAATGGCTAATGCTTCTACTTAAGGTTTTTAAAGGGGCATTCTCCCTCCCTTTCCTAGGTCTCCTCCGAATAAACTTCTCCAGTTCCTGACAAAGTATTTCCCAGGACTTAATATTAAGTTTTCTCACTTTCTGAGACAGGTGTGAATGCTCCAGGGAAAGGCAATCTCAATATGCAGTAGAGTTGGGACTGATAATTTAGGACCTCATGATTGTTACAGATGAATTCTCTTTAATAAATTGTCAAATTTCAGATCCAGGCATCTTCAACCAATCAAATGTCCCATGGTTAATACCAAGTATGGCCAGATCCCAAAGGCTGCTGTAGTGGGGGCCTACATGAAGATCCACACTGTAGAGCAGGGAGAAAGCATGGTAAGTGTGCACTGAGCCCTGTTCACAATATAATGTGTAATGTGATGGACTAGGTGTGTTAAGTAATGAGAATAAAGACTTTAAATCATCCTTTTTCAATAAAAGGAATAAAGACTTCTTGGGAAATGATTTATTTTAGGGTGAGGCAGGAAATACATGAAATGAGCCTTGGAAATTTTGTAGTGCTATGAAGTAAGGATGTGTTGGGGTGGGGGGAATCCAATGTTGATGGGGACAGGCATACCAAAGGGACACAGAGGCCAACTGAAAGAGCTCTCAATGGCCAAAGCAGGAATAATTTGAGTAACAAAATGAGATTGTATTAGATTATAGCCCAAAGTAGAAAACAAACACCCATGAGTACATACTGACATAATAATTAATGAATAAACTAATAAGTAGAGGAAAAGAGAAAAATGTCTCACACAGAAGAATTCCAAATAATTTATGTAAATACTCTGTCGTAAGGGAGAGGGTGTGTAACCCCTGCACCTTAGGTGTGGGCTGCACATGATTTCCTTTCAGAGAGTATAGTATGGGGAGGGTGAAGGATAACTTTATAGTAGAGAAACCTAAGAAACAACATCACAGCCAGGTGATCAAGGCCAACATCAACAGTAATAAATCATGTTGATGGAATGCACTCTTGATATAATTTGGTGAAAATGTCTCTTTACCTCTGTGGTCATCTTCCCAATTACTCATCCTGGTTGTGAGACAAAACTCAAATTCTAATAGAAGGGCATCCTACATAATGCCTGACCAGTTACTCTTCAAAACTGTCAAGTTCACCATGAACAAAGTCTGAAAAACTGACACAGTTAAAAGAAGCCTAAAGAGACATGACAGTTACAAGTACTGTGTCCTGGGCTTCCCTGGTGGTACAGGAGTTAAGTCTAAGCACTGTCAAGCTATCTCCAGTCACCACAGCATGAATTCAATCCCTGCCCAGGGAGCTAACCCACAGGGCACAGCAGATCTCTTCTGTCTGGTCCACTGCTCCCCTCAGCAGTGTATTTCAGTACATCTGCTTGTTCTGCTGCCCACTCTGTCTCTGGTGAACCCTCGAATCCTCTCATTCCACTCCACCTCCCACCCTCTGCATTTCTGGCCTATATCCCAGTTCTTGTATGCATAGATAAAGTAAACCTTTAACAAAAAAAAAATTACTATATCCTGGATAGGACTGTGGAATAGAAAAAGGCCATTGGGTAAAAATAGAGAATCTAAATAATATGTTGAATTGACAACAGCATAATAATGTAGTTAATAACAGTGTGTCAATATTGGTTCATTAATTGTAGCAAAAGTATCATGAATTTAAGATGTTAGTAATAGGAAGCTAGTTACTTGGGATATATGGGAACTCTTATTTTCTCAGTTTTTCTGTAAGTATAAACTCTTCTAAAATGTATATTAAAATCATGCAATGGTAGAAGAAGATGTATGGATGAAACAAGTATGTCTATGAGTTGATTTTTGTGTTGAGCTTTGTGGGAGAGACTGGAGGTAGGTGGGTACGAAGACTGTCTGTGGACAGTGTCAGTGGACCTCTGTCTACTTGGGGAGCTCTGTTTTCTGACCCCCTGTGTTGTCACTGTAATCGGGAGGCTGCTCCCTGGCCATGCTCACTCGGGTGTTCAGAATTTCAAGGGGCTTTGTAACCTACTTACCCCTTGGTGTGATAGGCTTTTAATGTTCCTGCTTTACTGGATTGTGTGTCTTTGGAGAGGGAAGTTTAGCCCTGCATAATGTAGGAGTCCCAGATCTTAGGTCCAGCCCTCAGTCAGCATTAGTGGAACAATTTTTAAACTCTTAGGAAGCTCTTCCTTTTGTTAAGTAAAACTCTGACTTTTCCAGAGTTGTTTTTCCTTTTATTTTTTCCCTTTATATTTCTCCTGCAGCTTTTATTTATTTTTAAAGATTAGGTGGGAGGCTGGACAAGAAAGGTCTTCTGTGCCAAGTGGGTCACCTCCCTGGCCAGGGAACAAACCTGTGCTGCAGTGACTGTGGATAGCTCCATAGCTCCACCAGGGAAGGTCTTCTCCTGCAGCTTTTAACTAGCTCTTCCTTCACCCAGCCCCACCTCTAAGAAGCCAAAATCAGCTTTCTTGCCATGTGAAGATGCCTAAGATATTTTAGGTATGCTGTTTTGTTTTGGTTTCCATTCAACATTTATAGAGTCAGTGACAGTGCCAATGTCCTGTTAATTATTTTCTTATTTGGGCAGAACATCCTTCATTCCTCTAGCTAGTCTTCATGTGATGTCATTTCCAGCTTTTTCACTGTCCACTATGCTGCAATTTGTCAGTATTTCAGAATGTGGTGCTTAGGTCAAAACACAGACTGCCTGAGTTCTGTGAATGCAGCTTCACAGGGTAAGGCTGAGAAATTGGGGGCCACTCACACATGGGTAGCATAGAGGCACCTGAGGGCAGAAAGTCCAGTTTGGTGAAAGTGATGGAAGTGGGAGGTTGTTTAAAATAAGAGGGAAAGAGTCTAAAACGGATCAAGAGGTTCTGTATTGTAGAAGGCCTACAGTGCTAGAAAAGGGAACTTGTCCTTTTCTGGAGTGTCTTGGAAAGCTTTGGGGATGTGGTGGGGTTGCTTAGAGCAAGGACCCGACTGCTTATTTTGTCAGGCAGGCACAACACCTAAAACTCCTCTAACAAATATTTGCTAACATGACCCCTTTGAAGAGGATGCCTGTGGATATGCCTTTGGCAAAATTCTGTCCTACCAGCTTTCCAGACCTTGGCTTCATTTGTAGATAATGGATGATAACAGCTCTGACTATTCACTTAGTAGTTTGCTCCCTCATCCTTGGGAGCAGAAAACCTGAAAACAGCAGAGGGTCCTGGAGTAGAGAAAACCACATTTTTTTTCTAGGAACCATCTTCTCAAGGGAACAGGCAGAGGTCTCAGAGCTGGTCTCAGAGGTCTCAAAGCTGGTCAAGGAAAGAAGTGAACTCCTACTTGGGGCCTCATTTTCCCATGTAGAAAATCTACTGGTAGGAGGGATGATCTCTAAGGTTCGACATTCTGGGAATTCTTTTCTCTAGGGCCTTCACCAGATCCTTCTTCCAGAGGTCCAACATGACCTGCGTCCCTTGATCCTTGTGAGCCTGGGATCTGAGGTGATACGGATGAGGAAAAAAAAGTTTTGTGAACTGATTGACGGCGAGGTTACAGAAAAATTGTCCAAGTTACAGATCCAGTACCCCAGGTCAGTGAACGAAAGGGCATAACCCCCTTCAGATCAGATGAACCTTTTTGCTTGTTATTTTAGTAAAGAAAAAGTAAAGATAATCCCTAATTCTAATGTGGGTAGTTATTCCTAATTCTGAAACTGGTGGTTGTTGGTGTATTGTAAATTGGCTTAGTGCTTCTGGTATTAATTTTAGCTTTGTGTTTCACAGACTATAAAACTGCTCCTAGACATTCCTAGAAGCAATGGTTCACAGGCAGATTAATCTTCATATAACTATATTATGGGGAAAGCTACATGCATACAAAGATGTTCATAGCAGCCATATTCACAATAGTGGAAAAAAAAAAAAACCCAATACCTTATCATACATATCATTCTAAGAAGATGGTTTAGAAAGTTGTGGTACATTTCCTTGACAGAATGTATTGCCTGCTTTATTTAAAAAAAAAAAAACACAAAAAACCCTTAAGTTTAATAACTTTATAGAAGGAAGGTAAATAGTTGATAAAATGATACATGAAAAAAGACAGGGTAAAAATTGTATATATATATATGACTGCCTTTGTAAAACATATGCAGAAAATCTAGAAATAAGTAACAGTGAGAATAGCTGTGGTGTCAAATTGATAATAGTCATTCTTTCTGGAAGGTGGAACTAAAAGACTTTCTGATTATAGTTATGTATTCTGTTTGTTTCTCTAATGAGTATACATTGTTTCATATTTAGGGGAAACTATCTTTTTATTAAGGTAACTTTAATTTATTGAACTGTATAGGTTTCAAGTGTATACCTCTCACCTCAGCAACTGTGTATTTCTCACTACACTTTCTACCAAATTTGTCCATATCATCATCTACTACAGGGCTGTTCTCTCCCTGCCCAGGCACCTGCCTTTCCCCTCTTGCAACCACCTTTTTGTTGATGGAATCTAAGGATTTGATTTGCTTTTGTTGTGTTTGTTTAATTAGTTTTGGCATTTATCTTTCTCCTCACTTATTTCACTTAGCATTATTCCCTCAAAGTTTATTCATGCTGTTGAAAATGTCAAGATTTCATCTTTTTTTTTTTTTAAAGATTTATTTATTTGTGCATACAGAACTGGGGTACAGGCCAGAGGCTCAGGGGCGGTGAGAGGCTTCACCAGAGACAGAATGGGGAACAGAACAGGTAGATCGAGGAAGTACACTGCTGAGGGGAACAGCGGGTGGGCCAGGAGAGGTCTACCACACCATGTGGTCACCTCCGGGGCAGGCGGGAATCGAACTCATGCAGAAGCGGCTTTAGATTCTCAGTGCTGTGCTTTAACCCACTGCACCACCAGGGAGGGCCTCATCTTTCTTTTTTAAAAAAAAAATTTTTAATTCTTTTATTTTGTGTAGAACTTAGGTGTAGCCAGAGGTATGTATAGTGGGTAGGAGAAAGGATTCACCAGAATGGGGAGCAGAACATGTGGATCCACTGAAACACACTGCTAACGGGAGCAGTGGGGGTAAGGCAGGCGAGGTCTGTTGTGCCATGTGGGTCAGCTCCCTGGCCAGGGATGGACTCAGGCCATTGCAGTGGTAACACTGAGACTTAACCCTGAGGCTCCCAGGGAGGCCCATATCCTGTCTTTTTAATCCATCTGTCCTCAGACACTTGGATAGTTTCCACAATTGGCTATTGTAAATAGTGCTTCAATTTCCTCCTCAGTCATATCCATCTTGTATTTTGTGCTCTTAGTGAAACCCAAATCAGGCCACGTTAAATTCTTGCTTGGAGGTGAAAACCAAGATCATTTATTTGGCTCCAACAATCACAAATCAGCATTTTGTATATTTTCTTTTAGAATTTTTTTTGGGGGGTACACATGGACTTATACAAGATTTTCTTTTATTTTTTGGCATGTAAAAATTTATAATAGAGATTATACTGATTATATGATTTTGCAGCTTTCCCTTTTTCTTTACTTGTAATGATATTGTGATCAAACATAGCTTTGTTGGCAGGTGTGGGAAATGAATGATTCCAGTAGCGATTCAGTAGAGAAAGAGGTGTGACAGCAAACAGATCTGTAGAATCACTTCACCCAGGTCCACTAAGCATATGACAGAATTCGATGTAGGATCTGCATGATCTTGGATAAGGCAGCTCCTTCTTGGCTTCAGACTCCAATCTGCAAAATAAGAAAATTAGACTAGATCAGTATTTTCCAAAGTATGAAACATAATCTAACAAATTATGAGATTATTTTAGCTGGCACATACATCAACATTTTTAGTTTTAATAACTATGTACTTATTTTAGTGAGAATTAGGAAAACAACATGACTAAGTTTACTAAGCCCACAATTCAACAGATCTTGTTGCTTAGAATGGAACCACAGTAAACATTTAAGTAAAAGAACTAAATAGGTTTAAGAAAAATGTCATTAGTGAGTTAAAGAATAGATGATTTACAGATATGGCCCAAACTGGGGCAATTTTAAGGGAACAAAAAAGTTGGGAAATGATGGTGTTTCATTGTAGTTCAAAGATGCCACAGTCCTCTGACTTCTGTGTATTGGCAATATGAAAAATGGCTATTTCGAGTCACCTATTTGAAAAAGACTTTAAGGGGCTTTAGCTCCTTGCATAATTCCTGGCACATGATGGGCATCTGTTAGTGTTTGTTGAATTGAAATTCAGAAGAGGTTTGCACAGACTGGAGGGTGGCAGATGTTTGGGCACTCGGAATCTGTGCTACCAGTCAGCACTTTGCTGCAATCACCTATAATGCTGACACACAGAATTCTCTTATTCATTAATTGTTGAACTCATGGTTTTCCAGACTGCTAAAGCAGGCAGAAAACATAGCCATTACTAGTTCCAGTTCTTTCCATTTTAATTGAGGACTGTTAGACCCAAGAAAGGGGATATGACATCCTGAAGATTACACAGTCAGTGGCAGAGAGAACTGTCCAATGAATGCCACAGGCTAGATAACTTAAAACCTCTGCCCCTTCAAAATACAGGATATGATAGAAATAATATAATGAATAGCTGAGTTCACAAGAAAGAAGGGAGCTCTCCCTACCCCAAGGACCAAAATGAAGAGGACTCTAAAAAGTAAAGCACAGAGTATTGTTTAGTGCTGGAATTGCCCAGCAGGGGTGGGCATGGGGGTGGTGGTGGAAGTTTTAGAGTATCATGTATTTTTACAGCCTGTAAGGACCTAGGTAACTCAGTTCAAGTAAGGCCAGGGATTGGAACTCATACCGTTCCGTGAAGTTGAGGTCTTTAGAAGAGCTACCCTATTTAGTAAAGAAGTAGAATAGAAGTCACCACGGCCATCAGCATTAGGACATGACATGGAATTTGTCTGCCTTAACTTGGACTCTGGGTCAAAAAGAAGAAAAAAATCCCCTAAGGATTTGCAGCCTTCTACCTGTTCCTAGGTTTTGGTGAGTTCCTTAGCCTCTGCAAGTCCCAATTTTCATGTTTCTGGAATGGGGTGTTTGTGAGGATGGATGGCTTAGCCTATGTAAGGTGCCTGGCATGTGGTGGACGCTAAGTCAGAGTTAGCTGTTGTTATTTTATTTTGTATGTATGAAAGTGGGAGGTAATGGAATTTTTCCATTGGCAACTAACCAGTGGTGTGCTAGTGAATGCTTAATAATCAACTTTCCAGGACCTTCCTGGTAGTACAAGGGGTTAGTCTTAGCACTATGCAGCTATCGGCAGCCACTGCAGCATAAGTTCCATCCCCAGTCAGTGAGATGACCCACATGGTGCAGCAGACCTCTCCTGTCTTGCCCACTGCTCCCCTCAGCAGTGTATTTAAGTCAATCTGCCTGTTCTGCTCCCCACTATCTCTGGTGTATCCCTCCAGCCTCTGGCCTGTACCCCAGTTGTTATATGTATAAATAAATAAAATAAATCTTTAAAAATAACCAGCTCTCCCGGAGGTTAAAGATAACTGATTTATAATATTTGTTGATGGTCAAAGTCAAGTTACTAACTAGATGTATCTGAACATGGAGTTAAGAAGAGATGCACATCATTAACAATCAAGGAATCATGAACTGGTAGGAGCTGACTTTAACACACTGCTAACACCACCAGGACCAGCTGGTAGACCATTCTGTCACACCCCACCCCAACTTTTTAAAATTGAGTTGATCTCTACAGATTAAGGCAGACTTTGTCTTAGTTAATAGAATCTGACCAGAAAAATGTCCAAATTTGTTAGTGCTGTGTTAGGTTTGCCTCCATAGGTGAGTGTGGGCAGGTTGTGGGCATCTTTTTTTTTTTATTTTACAAAAGTGTATTTTTACATCATTTTGTACATTTTTTTCCCATCTCAATTGTAATCCCCGCGAGTTTCCCATCACCAAGTCACCCGTGTGCTATCACCATAATTCTGTGCACTCCCCTCCCCACCCCCCCATTTTTGATGTGTGTACCACAGCTTTTTAATCCAGTCTTCCACTTTTAGGCATTTGGGTTGTTTCCATGTCTTTCCAATTGTAAATAAGCAGAAATGAACATGGGGGTACAGGTATCTTTTTGAATCAGTGTTTTTGTGTCTTTTGAGTAGATACCTAGGAGTGGGACCTTATTCCTTTTTATGGCCAAATATTCTATCACATGTCTCTAGAGCTCTTTATCCATTTGGGTTGTTTCTACTTTTTGTCTATTTTGTGTATGAATATTCATGCACAGCAAGTCTTCACTTAATATTACTGATAGTTTCTTGGAAACTAGCTTTAAGGAAAACCACATATAAAAAAACAAATTTTACCTTAGACTAATTGATAGAAGCAAGATTTAAATTCTTTTTGACATATTTGTGATCTCAAAACACCATCAACCTTCTAAGTAAAGACCCAAAACAGTTCTAATGTTGAACATTCATTCTACAACACACTAAATCCAGGGTCATGGGCATCTGGAGCCTATCCACGCTGCTCAGAGCCTGCACAGACCATTCTTGCACAGACCATTCTGCCATTGCAGGGCTCTCTCTCTCACTAGGAAAATTTAGACATGCCAGTTAACATAACATGCACATCTTTAGGATGTGGGAGGAAATCAGAATACTTGGAGAAAACCCACACAGACATGGGAAGAATGTGCAAACTCACATAGTAGCCCTGGTTGGGAATTGATTTTTTTTTCTCATCAACTTTATAATGAAAAGCTGTTGAATGAAATGATGTTATTTGAGGACCTGCTGTACAAGTTTTTGTGTGGGTGTATATTTTCATTGTAAGAATGAAATTGCTGGGTCACAAGTTAACTCTGTTTAATCCTTTGAGCAACTACCACACTGTTTTTCAAAGCAGCTGAGCCAGTTTACATTCTCATCAACATTGTGCTGGGACCCTTACTCCAGTGTGTCCATATCCTCATCCACACTTGTGCTTATCTATTTTTTTTTAAAGATTTATCTATTAATGCATACAGAACTGGGGTACAGGCCAGAGGTGCAGGGGCAGTGAGAGGATTCACCAGAGAAAGAGTGGGGAGCAGAACAGGTAGATCTACGAAGTACACTGCTGAGGGGAGCAGCGGGCGGGTCAGGCGCCATGTGGATCACCTCCTGGGTGGGGATCAAACTTGCTGAAGTGGCTTTAGCTTCCTAGTGCTGTGCTTTAACTGCTGCACCACCAGGGAGGGCCTTTATCTATCTTTTTAATGATAGCCATTCTAGTGGGCATCCCATTGTGGTTTTGATATGCATTTCCTTGATAGCTAATAATCATACATGTAATTTAAGATTTCAGGAGTCAGATTATAACAAGTAATAAGAAGTGGGTGAAATCAATTTTAATAATATATTCATTGCACTCAGTATATCTAAAATATCATTTCAACATGTAAGCAACATAAAAATTATTAGTGATGGCCCTCCCTGGTGGCGCAGCGGGTTAAAGCACTGCACTGAGAAGCTAGGGCCACTTCCGCATGAGTTCGATTCCCGCCTGCCCCGGAGGTGACCACATGGTGTGGCAGACCTCTCCTGACCCACCCGCTGCTCCCATCAGCAGTGTGCTTCGTCGATCTGCCTGTTCTGCTCCCCACTCTGTCTCTGGTGAAGCCTCTCACCGCCCCTGAGCCTCTAGCCTGTACCCCGGTTCTGTATGTACAAATAAATAAATCTTTAAAAAAAAATTATTAGTGATATAGCCTATGTTCTTTTTTGTATTAAGTCTTTGCAATCTGCTGGGTGTTTTATACTCACAACACACCTCCAATTCAAACTGAGTACACTCAGTTACAGGTTAGCTACACATGGCTCATGGTAGCCACAGTGCAAGTGTGAGGGAAGAAAGTTGTGAGAGGGTAAAGGAGGCAGAGAATAGAGTCTGGGAAGAGGCCCAGAGGAGGAGGGCACACTGTGTTGAAGGACTGAAACTAGTGGTAAGAGGCAAAGCAGGAGCGGTAGGGGGCCAAGGTGGAGCTGGCATGGGAAACTCAGCATCTGTGCTTACCTTCAGTGATGAAGATATGTGCCAGAAATTCCTTGAGGAGAACAGCTGGAATATCTTTCGGAAGGACCTGGTGCGGCTACTGGTAGCACCTCGCCAATCTCCACCATTCATCCCAATCCGACTCAAGAAGAAATCGATCTATAACCCCAAGTCTCTGGTCCTGAACTTGCATTACCTGGAGAAGAAGCCTGAACATTATCCCACTTTTATGGCACCCCAGAAATACCTACCCCCATTAAGGATTGTCCAAGCCATCTCAGCACCCCGGTACAAAATCCAAGACGTCCTGCCCCAGTATAAGAATGCAGGGGTCCTCGTTTAGAACAAATAAATTATGTTGAGTGGGCCACCATGTTTCCTGAATGACCACCAGGGGAATTGTGGGATCTGAAATGGGCACCTGGGAATTGAACTGTGGGTCAGGAGAGATATTTGGGCCCAGCTCCCTTGACACTTGTGAGGTTGAGCAAGTGGTCAGGAGGCTGGATGTGAATGGGTTAATCACTGGAGATGATGTTAAGGTGGGAGGCTCATTTCTGATGAACTGGCTGGGAGCCTCAAAGGGAGCCAGACTAAGTTTGCAAAGTCAAATGTCTTCTAAGGTAATATAAATGAGTATAGGGCAGGACCGGGAAGACAATGGGGGGTGATGGCGACCTGTGTGCATGTTCCCCATCCAAATGGAACAGCTGCTCCTTAGCCCTAGTCAGTTGATACCAGGCCAGGAAATAATGCAGCCATGCTTCTGCCAGTCTTGAGTTTTTTCAAGAGAATTAAGAAACCCAGGATTTTAGATGGTTCTATTGGTTTTTAAATGTGAGCAACTAATTCAAATTGTTTTTGAAATACTGTGTTAAGCAAACAAAACACATACGTGGGCTGTGTTGGGCCTACATACTGCTGTTTGCCAATGCTCATCAAGCACCTCTGTCAGACTCAGAGGGCGTTGCCAGAGATTGAGTGAGGCACGACTGTGAGGGAGGCATAAGGAGCCAGAAAGACAGATGGGCAGCATGATAGGAGCAGGCATCCTGGGTCAGGGAGGAGGCATAAGCAGCCTAAGGGAGGAGGCAGACTTGTAACAAAGGGCCCTTTTGGGACCTTTGGGCTGGGTCTCTTGGTTGGTGGTTCCAGTAATTCTAGAACTGGTTCCTGCCTCTGTTCAGCCTCAGCACCACAGAGTCAATGCCAAGACACCTGTCTCACTTGGGAAACACTTTCATTTAGTTTTGGAAGCACTGAGGAACCTGGTACTGAGGAGCTGCAGCAGGACAAGAGCTGGCCAGGGACCAGCAGGAGAGACCGGAGTCCTCCCCCACTCCATGCACACATTCTCACACTGCATTCCTGGTGAGAAGGATGCAACCCCTGAGCACTAAGCTGGGCATTGGGAACTCTGGAGATCCTGGTTCTCTTTCCATCTCACTGGACCCCCTTGAGCTCCTTGAGTTCTTTATCTGGATCCAGGTTTCCCCAGTGGCAAAATGAGCAAGTGGCACCATTGATGTTTTTCCTGGGCAGAAGGTAAGTTGAGTTTGAAACACTTATTCAGTATTTTAGTTTGATTTGTTGATCCTAAAAGAAAACTGTTTTCAGGTTGCATAGCAGAAGAGGAGGAGGAGTATGGATTTTTTTCTATCAGAAGAAGGCGAGGATGTGAAAGAATAAAATGAGACATTGGACTTAGTCATCTATACTTCCCTGATATCTTCAGAACACAGAGGAATCTGGGACATGCAGTAATCCTTGAAGGACTGACTATGACCTACAAAGATGGTGACACTATTTCGGCACCAGGTAAGTTGGGATGTCTGACTCACTGTACTTAGGGGGGGCCCCTTTTTGTTTAGAGCTATGACTCCAAGGTGGTAGTATAGAATCTTGTTATTTATTAGCACTTGCTCATCACAGTTCAAAAGGAGAATAAGACACTCTAGTCCCTTATTCTGTAGGTCAGAGGTCAGCAAATTCTATAAGGGCCAAGTGATAAAAATTGTGGAGTTTGTGGGCCATATAGTTTTTGTTGTACCTGCTCGACTCTGTATGGTGAAAGCAGCTATCGAAAATATGTAAGCAAATGGGTGGGACTCTGTTGCAATCAAACTTCACTTACAAAAATGGTTAACCAGATTTGGTCTGCAGGCCATAGTTCATTGACCCCTGAGAGCTCTTGAAGTTTCTTGAACATACATAACATGACAAAAAGAAGGGAAAGGAGCTTATTATTGAGCACTTACTTTCTGAGCATCATCTTGCTAAGCATCTGACTATAGAATCTGAGGATCGCTGGGTTCAGATCACAGCTCTGCCACTTAATGGCTGTTGAGGATTTAAAAAGGTAGTACATGTATAGTCAGGTAGAGGATCTTACTTGCCAAGACCCTTGAGTCCCATTTTCTGCAAATTGAGAGAAAAAACTTCCAGAACAGAAGGCAGAACATATTTTCTAGGAAGTAGTTGGTGAAAAATAGACTAGAAGAGCAACCTGGTGTGTGTGGGGAGAGATTCTGTGGGGGCTGGGCTTTGGGACATCTTGATGAAAGCAGGAAAAGAGCAAAGCCTTTTTGTAGCCACTATATAATAGCAGAACTTAAGAAGGAGACATGCATTTCTACTTTGTCATTTTCTTGAGAAACCAAGTGAATAGTTCTTGATTATGATTGTATTCATCACTGCTGTTTTTTAATTCAGTCACCAAATGAAGAGTGGGCAGCATGGAGCCTCGGTTATATTTGGGTTATACATGTAAAGTATACAGGGAGTGCTCAATAGATTAGCACTTTTTTTTTTTTTTTTTAAATCATGATCCATTCAAGGGAACAAGAGACAGAGGCTTTGGAAGGCTGGACCCTCACAATTAGTCCTAAAGGTCACCCCTGAGAGAGTTGGGTGGAAGGGGCCTAGCTGACATACCAATAACCCCCACACTCTTCACTAAATGAAATGGTTGCTATGAACATTAAGGAGCAGCCTTAGAGGAGAGAACACAATCAGGTCTCCAAAGCAATTACTATGCTTGTGTGCTGTTTGAAAGGTGAATGCATGGGATGATGTGGGAGGGAAGGAGGCTGTGGTTGCTTATAATGTGTGAAAGGCTGTAGCTTCCACTCTGCAAGCATCCAAATGATGCTTGCACATTAGCCATCCAACTGTCTCACATTGGCCATCCACTGTCCTCCACTGTATCCACATACAATCTACAATGTAGTATAGGGGTCAGAATCAGGCTGGGGAGGACAAAATTGGATTTACTTAGGAGAGAGGTTTGTGGAAGGAGCACTTATGATATTCCGCAGCACAAATGTCAGCAACAAATGGACCCAGAGGCAAGTGTCAGCCCATGGTGATCCTCCACTTAAGCAATGAGGGGGAAGGGTCTGGGCTCAGGTGTTGAGTGCCTGGTGTGAGCCAAGTGTTGTGTGAGGCACTCTGCAGAGGGCTATCACTTATCCTGAATGCATTCACTGGCAATGAATTGGTGGCATTATCCCGTTTGACAGGTGAAGAGCCTGAGGCCCCAAGAGACAAAGGCCTGTGTAAGCTCACTTAGCTACCAGGTGTTTGTTCCAGGAAATCATGAGCTTTCACAGCTCCCTCCCAGGCAGTCAATGTTGCTGTGTAACAGTCCTTACTCATCTATCCTAAATGAGCCACCTGTTTTCCAAAAAGGAAATTCTGTATACACAACCCTGAAGCTCTGCAGGAATGGGTTTCCATATGCAAATACACACAGTCATCCATAGTCACACCCAGACCAAAAATATAGCCCCCAGCACTAACAGCATCTACTGTTTGGGGAAGATGAAAAAAACTCATTTGAGAAATAAACACAGAAGATATTTCCAGCATTTGTTATAGGAAGTATTTAAGATCCCATCTTGGGGTTGGGAGCAAAAGCATTCTTTAAAACCTCTTTTCTTTTTGTATAACTCATGGTAAAATCTCACCTTCCCATTGAAGGCTAAGGGGTGACATGGGACCACTCTGCAAATCTGGCAGGATAATGTCACTGGAGGCCATTCCACTGCTCTTTGGGTACTTAAGGGACTTAACCATAAGGGTCCTGAGTTGCAGAATCTGTAATCTCTGGTTCAGCGCCCACAATGAGAATGAGGAGTCATTTCTAGGTGACTGAGAAGCAAATCTGTAGTAAGTTTTTTAGTGATTGCTGAAGACTATGGACTTTTGCTCTGGGGACAGAGTTGGGGGCAGTGGGAAGGTGGCAGGTGCTTTGTGACTTTCAGTAGGCTTGTTCCTTTTCTGGAGCTTCACCTACTATCAGTTGTAAAAGTTGAGGTTCAAGTAAATGCTCTTCCAGCTTCCCCCTCTACCCCACACTGTGCAGGACTCCAGACTGTGCCCCTATTTTGCATTCACCTGTTTTCCTACTTTCAAAGCCTTTCCACAGCCTACAGAAAATCATAGTCAGGAAGAAAATGATTAATGAGACCCTTGGTGAAGCGTGAAAATGAACTGTGGATGAGATCATTGCATTGTCTTAATGTTAAATGTCCCTAAATTGGTAATTGAACTGTGGTTATATAAGATAATCTCCTTGTTCATAGATATACACTGAAACTTTTTTTAAAGATTTCTTAAATAAAGAGCTGGGGTATAGGCCAGAGATGCAGGAGGTGAGAGGATTCACCAGAGACAGAGTGGGGACAGAACAGGTAGATGGACTGACATACACTGCTGAGAGGGAGCAGTGGACAAGACAGGAGAAGTCTGCTGCCCTTGTGGGTCCCTTCCCTGAGAGGGATGGAACTCATGCTGCAGTGGCTGCAGATAGCTTCATAACCCCGCGCGCCACCAGGGAGTGCTCTACATCAAAACTGTTGACAGTGAAGGCAAGTGATTCCTTCAATTTACTTTGAAATGATATAGAAATACGTACATATTTAGAACAGTAAAACAAATATAGCAAAATAATGACAATTGGCAAAACTTGGGTAAAGGGTTCTTAGGAGCTCTTTGAACTATTCTTGCAACTAAAAAAAATTTAACTCTAGATTGCCTATAACATAAAATTTACCCCCTTAAGGCCATTTTAAAGTATATACTTTAGTGATCTTAAACACATTCACATTCAGTGGTTGTGCAGCCATTACCACATCCATCTGCAGAACTTTCTCATCTTGCAAAAGTGAAACTTTGTACTCATTAAACTGTAACCTTTCATTCTCTTTTTCCTTAACTCTGGCAATCACCATCCTTCTTTTCCCTTTCTATGGATTTGACTATGTTGAGTACTAGATAAAAGTCTTTTTCTAAACGTCTTATACCACTTAGCATAATATTCTTAAGCATCATCCATTTGTAACATGTTCCAAATTTCCT